CCAGGAGAGGTGGCAGCTGGGCTTGCAGGTCAGGGAGGGTGGCTGCAAGCCTTGCTGCTCAGGGCCAGGCTGCTGCACAGCAGCATCTCTCCCCTGCCTGCAGATGACAAAGTCCCGGAAACGGTTAAGCTCCCCACTTGCTCCCCTGGGGTTTTTGCAGCCTTGTGTCTTGCTTCTGCTTGTTTTGCCCACTGGAGCAGCTGCTCTTCTGCTCATTCTGTCTCTGCAAGCCCTGGGGCTACCAGATGCTGGTCTGCCTTAGTCTTGCTTGTCCCCACACCCAAGCCAAGCCTTCCTGCTGCTGCTTGGAGCTGGCACCCCCTTCCCTGGAGCTGCCTCAGCAGCACACCTCCATCCACTCTATTTTGTTTGAAGCACTTTATTGTCATGGGACTGCAGCTGAGTGGCTGCCTGCATCCCTTTCTAGAAGCACTGAGTATACTGGGAGAACAGGGAAGGAATTCTGGCTTAGTTATGGTTTCCACCCTCCGCCATGGACTGTGTCTGGAAGCAGCAGGACTTGCAAAACTGGCGGAGGTCTCCAGGGCAAGAGCATGCCTAGCACTGACCGCTACAACTAACACTGGACCTGGCTGGCCAAGGCAGAGTTCTTTCTGAGGGAGAGTGGAGGGCTGCCCCAGCCATCAACTGGAGCCCTCCCCGTGGGATTACTGTTGCACAACATAGCAATTAAAATGCCGTCCTTAATAAACTAAGTTAATAAGGGGTTCAGTTGTGTTGTGAGATTTCTGGTGGGGTAATGGTGTGTGTATTCCGCTTTGAGCTCATGGGGCAGTCAGGGAATGCTACTGATGAGAGGGAGCATAGGGGGAGATGGCTTGTGCAGCTGGTGCATCCCCAGATGTCACTGGGAGGGGGTTATTGTCACCACCACTCGGCTAATTCATCTGGTTTGTGGCCTGCCCCCGCAAACTGGCCACTGGACTCAGGGCAGGAGGTACAACCCACTGTGTGAGGGGCCGTCTGTAATGCCCATCCCCTTCCTGAGCCTGCCTTTGCTGCTGGCCAAGGGGCCCAGGGGCATGGCCTTTGGCTGCTCTGCCTCTGCTTGCATCCCCATTCCATGCAGCCCAGCTCTCCCCTCGCAGCAGTGTCGTGCATTGCCCCATAAACACCAACACAGGTGATAGAAACTGTAAACTTTAAAACAACTGTTAAAAGATGCATCTGCCAGCCCAGCCCAGCACTGGCTCCACCACAAGCCACTTTCTGGGGGCTTTTTCCCTGGAAAAACCCTGCTCAGCCGAAATCTAAACTATGGTTAGCAGCAGCAACGGTGACCTGGACGATCCTGAGAGTGGTGGTTGTAGAAAAGGTTTCTGGCAGTCCAGGCATTCTGAGCATGGGCTCTCACAGCTGCCAGGAGAGGATTCCAGAGGCCTCCAGCAGCTGTCCCAGCATGGCAGCTCGAGCTGGGGGTGATGGCAGAGAAGAGACCTGCAAAACCCAAGGGCTTGCTGCTGTTACAGCGAGCCCTCCAAGAGTGCTCAGGGTGATCCCTGCGCTGGGTGATCTCTGCAGGGTGGTACCTCAGCAAAGGCACATCTGCCCCAGCGCAGAGGGGCACGAGCCCTCTCAAGGCGTGCTGTGTCTGTCACTGGGAGTGTGTGGGGGCGTAGCGACGCTCGAACTGGTCCACATCAAACTTGCGCTTGCAGCCGGCGTAGTTCATGTAGCGGATCTTCCCAAAGACGGCCCGCTCTGCCCAGCCCTGGTCGTGTATTCCACAGATGGACCACAGGCAGCCTGCCGGGCATGGGGATGGAGTGTCAGCTCTCCCCCTTGCTCAAAGGCAAGTGGGATGTGGGTGCAAAGCAGGATGAGCTGGAGCATGGGCTGGGCTGCCTGCAGAGAGCCCCCCCCCTGCCCTCCCCACCACCGCACCCTTGGCCATCAGATAAGCCCCCCCCACCCCCTGCCCCCATCCTGCAGCTTGCCTACGTATCCGTTGGGGTCCCTCCCGTCCAGCTCGTAGCGGTCATTGAGGTAGATGGCAAACTTCAGGGCCTCCTCGGGGGAGCGGGTCCACTCCAGGATCTTCTTGGCCCAGTACATCCGCAGGAAGCCGTGCATCTTGCCCTCCCGGACCATTTGGAGCTGGGGGGATAGGGACAGCCGTAGGGGTCAGTCTGTGCCCGGTCACCTCCGCCCCTTGGGAAAAAGCTCAGCAGTTTGTGGGGAAGATGTAGGGCAGTACCTGGGCAGCATTCCAGAGCAGGTCGTGCGTGGTCCCCTGCTCCAGCTCCTGCAGACTGTAGAGATAAGGCCTTTTGTCTTTGGTGTGGAGTTTCAGGGTGGTTTGTGCCCAGTCGTAGGCACCTGTGAGCAAGAGATGAGGAGCAACATTGAGCAACCTGCTCCTGCAGAGTACCAAGGAAGAGATGGAGAGCTGGGCTGTCGAGGGCACCAGTCTTGAGGGCACCTGCCTCCAGAAGGGGCCAAATGATGGGACATTAGTGCCCCCACAGCCCTCCTCCTAGCAAGGAATAGGACTGCCAAGTTGGAATGACCAGTTGGGTACCAGCCTGGCCCCCAGCACTGCCCACACGACCCGACGCTACCCTGCATACTGTCGTAGTTCTCATTGTAGTAGCAGAAGTTTTCAGCCAGCTCCCGCCGCACCACGGCCTCCTCCACGAACGCATCCACCGACTCCTTGTACTTGTGCCGGTGCTTCTGCACCTCCAGGATGGCTCGTTGGGTGGAAACCTGGCCTGGGGACATGGGGAAGGAGCAAGTCAGGCTGCCAGTCCAAGACACCGTGCTCAGTCCTACTGCAGAGTGGAAAGCCTGGGACACTCACCAAAGTGGAACCACGGGGACAGGTTGCTGAGAGCTGCTTTGTTGGGGTCGTTCCGGTGGGAGCCAAAAGATTTCAGCCGCTCTGTGATGAAGGATTTCAGCACAGCCAGCCCTGCAGCTGTGCCAGGGGTTGCCCAGTCCACCTCCTTCACAGTGTGGTCCACCTGCAAGCTGGAATAACAGGCCTCCCAAGCAATGGGCTGGGTGGCGACCGAGCAGTGAGTGCATTTGCAGATGCTCTTCAGCCAGGGCTGTCCCAGAGTGTTATGTCCCCTGGATGTCCTCACCCAGCAAGTACCCAGCCCATGCCAGCCTCATTCTCTTAACTAGCCCTCTGCATGGCAGAGATGTCAGAACTGAATGAATGAGGTGAGAACCTCTCCTTCCCCAGGGCATCCCCATTTCCACACCATCCGTGTGTGACCTCAGGCAGGTCACTGTCCCCATCCCCTGCCAACCCCTCCCAGGATCACAAAGCAGCTGTGAAACACTCTGGGACAGGCTGTGAATGGGTTTGGAGGTGTCTCCTGCTGGTACCTCTGCTGGGCAGGAGGGGGGATATGGGTGACGAACGACAGGGGGGAACTCAGTGAGGAACTCAGGGAGCTGAGCATGGATCTTGCCCCGGATAGTCCTGGCGCTGTATTCCTGCTTGGGGGAGGCAACCCAGCAGGGCACGATGTTGTGGGCATCAACCTGGGAAGCAAAGCCATGGAGACAGTGTGAGAAGCAAATGGTCCCGATGACATGACACACATGTTTTCTGCTCAAGTCAATCCAGTGCACAAAACACAGGAGACAAGTTTCTCCCACATCCCACCATCAAGAAATTTCCCTTCCCAGAGTGCTAACACCCACCTGTGCAAATGGCACATCCTCTGGCAACCGTTCCCTGACGTCCTCCACCCACTGCCGGGGGAGGCGGAGGGGACTGAAGTCTGTCACCAGCCCACCCACACCATGCTCCACCACAAACGCAGGCAGCACGTCCTTGGCGTAGCCCAGCAGCAAATGGAAGGAGATGTTGAGCTCTGCACACTCCTACAGAGACAGGGAAAGGGCTATGGGACAGTTCATAGCTCTGCAGACCCGGCCCACCACCATCCGCTGAAGGGATGGATCTGCCTCCCCCATTCCCCAGGAGCGCTGTCCCAACCAGCAGGGACATCCCCTGGCTGTACCTCGGCCACCTCCCGCAGGCCTCTCAGCATGAAATCGTAGTGCCGGATGGTGGCCTCCAGGAATTTGGGCACTAGGCAGAAGCAGATGTGCAGGGGCAGTTCCTGTTTGAGGGCCAGGCGCTGGGCATAGAGGAAAGCCCAGTTATCTGGGGAGAAATCACACAGGGCAGTGTCAGGAGGATGCTACACTGAAGGGAGGGGGATGGGGTTTCACAAGACGTTTCCCCCCAGATGCCCCAGAAGAGGGGGGCCAGGTCCAAGGCCTAATGGGGGAAGGGACCAGGGCCATGTGAGTTCTGCTTCCTGGCCCGTTCTGCCAGCTGTTTCGCACCTTGTAGCCGCTGATCCCGGCACATCCAGTAAAGGATACACCGAGCATCATCCTTCAGGTCCGAGCCCTGCGAGATGAGGCGAACCCGCTTCTTGTTGTACTTGAACTCTAGCACGGATGGGGCCGCCCTCCGCCGGGCCTCCTGCATCGCCTCCTCTTCCTCCGTCCTTCTCCGAGACACGCGAGGCACCTCCGTGACCTCGGCCTTTCGCTTCCCTTGTCCCCGCGGCATCCTCAGGACGGCCCGGGCCAGCGCCCGGAGCACCGTGGTTGCGAGCGGCCGCTGGGAGAGAAAACGAGACCGTGCTGCGCTTCCGAGAGGAAACGAGCCCCGGCGGAGCTTTCCCGCTTCCCTGCGCATCCCGGCCCGCCCCCAGAGCCCGGGGGATGCTGGTCCCCTGCCCATACTGGTCCTCGGGCACCGGGGGATAACGGTGCCCTGGCCATTTCGTTTACCGATCCGATCCTCTCCCGGTCCCCGATCCCAGGGGTAGGGGTCCTGACCCCGTCTCCGACTCCGGTCCCGGTCCCTCCCCGGCACCACGCGGTCCTCCCAGTGTTACACAAGCCGTGGGCGTGTGTAAAGGGCGTGGTCACGGGTGCGGCCTCGTGCAGGGAGGGGCGTGCCCCCCGTGCCCGGGACCGCCCCCCACACACAGGGGTGCAGGTGCTGCCCCGATGTCCCCGGCGCGCCCGAGGCGCTGCACCTGCCCGGGAGGGGGGCAGTGCCCGCTGGTGCCACCCCTCCCTGCCCCCGGGAACGAGGAAGCAGGTCCAGCCACCTTCAGCCATTACTCGGCAGCGTAGATCCCCACTAGCACCACGAGCTGCGTTCTCAGGTCCACACCTTGCAAGGGAGTGGGGTGCTGGCTTTGGACATGCCTGGGGGGACAGGAGGGCTGCCTGTGCTGCTACTGAGCCTTGCTGTGCTGGATCTCACGCTGGGTAAGGGCTAAACGGTATATGGGGGTATTCGGAGGGGGGAGCATCAGTTTCCAGAGTGGGGGTGGATCTGGGGTGGCTTCACCCACAGAAGTGAAACGCTGTGGGTGCTGTTTGCTCTCCAACATCTCAGCCCTGTTCTAGTGAGTGAACACGGCAGCACTTTGGAAAACATGAGTTACGAGCTTGGCTTTATTTCTTTTGCCTCTCATGTGAGTCTCCATCTGAGCAGAGAAGACCTTGGACCCAGCTGGACCCCCTTGCTGAACCTTGGTCCCTGCTGGGCTCATTGCCTTTGCTACAACCTGCCCAGCAGCACCAAACAGCCCTGCCTGGAGGGCAACATCACCAGCATGTACTGGGCCTGGAAAACTTCAAATGCCACCCAACGTTGGCACTTGACGCAAAGCAAGAGCAGTGTTGAGTTGAGCACAGGGAATAAACTTGAGGCTTGTACCTCCTGGAATAAACCTGAGGCTTGTGCCTCCTGAGAGCCTCAAGCCACAGCCATAGGTCCCTTCCTGCTGCATCCCTCAACCTGCTCGCAGAGATTTTTTGGGTTGCAACAGGTCTCTCATGGACTTGCCCTGAGCTGCAAGCTGGGATTTGTTCCTTTGTGGGACTTCTTCCCCCGTTGCCATTATTTACACCCAGTGCTATCAGTTCCTGACTATCTGCAGCAGAGAGGCTTGTGTAAACTGCTGCTGCTGCATTTCCAGACTGTCTCACGGTCACCAGTTCCTGCTCGGCTCTTCCTGTCAGACGGGTTTGTCTGATTTCCTCCAGGGATGGGTGAAGGTGGTGGAATGGGTCTTAGAACTGGTGCCTACAGGAGTGTCTGGCCTGAGACTGGTGATGCCCAAGGCTTGTTCCTACTTTGTCATGCTGGGGATTTACGTGGGCTGCCTTGCTGATGGTCACACTACCATTCAGGGAATCCACGTGCTTGATCCATGCAGGGTGGAAAATCCCCAGTCTTGATGATCCATGGCTGATGTGAGGCTTAGAAAGCTCATGGCAGTGGTAATGCTGCACCGTCCCCAACATAGTCATGATCTCAGCCTTTCTTTGCCAGCCCTGGTGTGCTGTCTGCCACCTCTTTGCAGGGACCATTGTCAATGAGAGCCCCTGTATCCCTGACTCTCCCTACCTGCTTGACACCCACAGAGACCATGGCACTGCTGTCCAACACCAGCTCAAGCACTGTAGCCACCCTCCCTCCCTCCAGTCCTGCAACCTCCACCCCAGAGATGCCAATGGATGCCTTCACAACCAATGGTGCTGCACTTCAGGAGAGCAGCCCAGCAGCCTCCAGCATCACCACAGCACAGGAGAGGGGCAGCACAGCCCACAGCACTACTGGGTCGCCTGGGCTGGGGCTCACCACTGGCACGCCAAAAGGGGTGGGGCTCACCACTGGCACCCCAGCTCCAACCTTCATGCCCATAACACCCGACTGTCCCAAGACAACCAATGTCCCGTCGGTGGGGACCAGCACAGCCCTGGCTCTGAGCTCATTTGGAGTTGAAATGAGCACTCTACCTCCCCCCACCTCTACTCCTCTCTCCTCCACCTGGGTGGGCACCACACTTGGCACCAGCACCCACCAAGGGCCAGCCACAACCATGCTTGACAGCACATCCCCGGGGAGCGGCAGCACCTCTTCTGCCACCACACCAGAACTGACAGACACTTTGAAGAAGCCCTTGATGACCCCATCAGACACCACAGCCTCCCTCATTACTAGCACAGTGGCCGCCAAGCGCACCCCTGCCCCCAGCCAGCCTGTCATGGCCACAGCCAGGACCACCCTTGGTACCTCCACCCTGGCAGCACCCGAGACTCCCAGTGCCATTGCAGGTGAGTGCAGCCACAGGGCACCGGGGGGGGGGGCAGGATCAGGGTGCCAAATCCCCATGGAATCTCCCATCCTGCTCAACCAGGCACCTGGCTCCTTCCCCACAGCTCATCCCATGGTCTGGCCCCAGCCCTATGGGGGTTTCCTGGTCTCCAGGCTCTTCAGGCCAGTGGATGGTCCCATGCTGGACTATGACTGTGCCCTGGTGGGACTGTGCCTAGCAGTGTGACTGTACCATGACTTGACAGCTCCTGGTGGTGTGGCTGTACTGCAACTGTGCGGCTGCGCTGCGGCTGTACCTCAGTGGTGTGGCTGTACCTCAGTGGTGTGGCTGTACCTCAGTGGTGTGACTGTACCTCAGTGGTGTGGCTGTACCTCAGTGGTGCGGCTGTACTGCAGCAGTGTGGCTGTACTGTGGCTGTGCCATGGCTATGTGGCTGTGCCCCCTGCAGTGAGCCTGCACCCTGGCAGTGAGACTGTACATACTCTGTACCTCAGGGAGTGGGACTGTACCCCAGCAGTCCCCCCAGGCTGCTGTACTCTGGCAGTGTTGCTTACTGGGTACCTGTGTCCTGGCAGTGTGACTGTGTCCTGGTGGTTCTTTCAGGAGCCTTTACCCTGGGACTGCAGATGTACCCTGGTGACACCCCACTCCATGCACATCAACCAGAGCAGGGGAGGCTATGCCCTGTCCCAGTACCCCTGGCTGTGCACAGTACCACGGTGTCCCTGGTGTCCCTGTATCCCAGCAGAGCAACTGTATCCTCACAGGGTACCTGCACCCCGGCCTAATGCCCGCAGTGTGAGAGCACCTCATCAGAATGCCTGTGCTCTGGTGATGGCCTCTGTGTGCCTGTAACCCAGCAGTGCCCCTGTGTACCTGTACAGCAGCAGGGCGGATGTGCCCTGACAATCCTCCAGCATGTCTTGCTTCCTGCCTGCGGAATGCCTGTACCTGGCCCAGTGCCTGCAGGCGCCTCCGACTGGTCTTGTCCCTGACCCTGGGAAGAAGGAAGCTCCAGCTGTGAGCAGTACACTTCAGCCGTGATACGCTGTGACACAGGGAAGTGATGCCTGTACAGGCAGCCCAGGGGACAAACTCGCAGCCTGGAGCACGCCCTTCCTGAGTGCTGCCTGTTCTCTCGGCCAGTTCCTCACACTCAGGCAGAGCCGGCTGTTGTCTCCCGAGGGCGTTGGTGCTGGGAGCCACCACCAAACATCACCCCTGTGGCGAAGTGCAGGGACGGTTCCAGGTAGCCTGGACTTTTTTCCTTTGTCACCCTCTCCTCAGCAGGCAGAGGACGGCACAGTCTTGGGCTGCAGGGACCAGGTCTGTCATAGTGGTGGCCTTGCTGGCCTACCCTGCCCACTGCTCGTGGCTGCTCTGGGTCCAGCTGTGCAGTTGATGTCTGACCTGGAAACCCCAGTGCTGGGGCTGTGGGGAGCGCTCAGAGCTGTGCCTGTGGGGTGTAACAGTTCCTGCTCACCTGGACATGGCTGGGCAGAGAGGGGGGCTGCCCCTGCTCTTGCCCCTGCTGCTGCTGCTGCTGCTGAGCCTCACCTGCCTCGCCGTGCTGCACCTTGCTCTGGGTAAGGGCTGAGTGGGATGCGGTGCTCTCCACGGGGTGGGTGGTGAGTGGGGAGCATCATTCCCCAGGGTGGTGGGGAATGATCCCGCATCTGTGGGGTTGGGGGGTGAAATGCTGCGGGTTCTGTTTAATAAGTGGGAAGCAGAGGTGGACTTCTGGCTCCTGCTTTGTGTGAGGATGAGGCCCTTCAGTGCAGACACCCACCTGGCGTGGGCTGGGATCAGACCTTTGCCCTTCTCTTCATTGTTATTTAACCAGCTGCTGTATGCAGGGAGGGAGTGGCTGTGGGGGGCTTTGGAAGTTTCTGGTTGGGTTGGCTGAAAGCAGATGGTGCCTTGTGGCTCTGTTTCCCATCCTCACGTAAGCAGAGCCTCAGACTCACTGTGTTTCTGCTGGGAACACTGGGGAATCCAGTCTGGTGTCCCAAAGCCGCCACCTCACAGACACCCCTTGACAAAGGTTCAGGCAGCCAGGCTGTCCTGTGCATCCTTCAGAGAAGGTTACAGATCCCTGGGCTTTGCCTGGGGACAGCACACTGCCCTGGCACAGGGTCTGGGAGGGAAGAGAGGAAGTCCCTCCTGTGTCTCACAACCCCCTCACAGAGTTTCGTGGGTCACAGCACGTCTCTAACGGCTTGCCCTGAGCTGCAAGCTGGGATTTGTTCCTTTGTGGGGCTGCTTCCCCCGTTGCCATTATTTACACCCAGTGCTATCAGTTCCTGACTATCTGCAGCAGAGAGATTTGTGTAAACTGCTGCTGCTGCATTTCCAGACTGTCTCACGGTCACCAGTTCCTGCTCGGCTCTTCCTGTCAGACGGGTTTGTCTGATTTCCTTCAGGGATGGGTGAAAGTGGTGGAATGGGTCTTAGGACTGGTGCCTACAGGAGTGTCTGGCCTGAGACCGGTGATGCCCAAGGCTTGTTCCTACTTTGTCATGCTGGGGATTTACGTGGGCTGCCTTGCAGATGCCCATTCAGGGAATCCATATGTTTGATCCATGCAGGACAGTGAATCTCCATTCCCAACGGTCCATGGCTGATGCGTAGCTTTGATTTCCTTGGGGATCTCATGGTGGTGGTAATGCTGTGCCATCCCCAGAACAGCCATGGCTTTAGCTTTTTACCACCAACCCTTGTGCATCTCATTGTCCAACCTCTTTGCAGAGACAACTGCCATGGGTGTGACAGCAACCACATCCCCATCTCCCCCCACCTCCTCAATATCTATGGAGACCTCGGCACAGCTGCCCACCACTGACTCCACCACTGCAGCCACCCTCTCTCCCTCCAGCCCTGAAACAGAAGCTTCCACCCCAGAGAGGTCCAGCACATCCCCAGGGACTGGCAGCACCCCAACTCCCACCACGCCTCCTCCCACAACAACAGCTACTTCATCTGAGCCCTTGACAACCCTGGCAAACACCACGGCCAGCCCTGTTACCAGCACGGAGGTCCCCCTGAGCACCCCCTCTCCCAGCCACCCGGCCAGGACCACATCCAGGACTACCCCTGACATCTTCCCCCCAACTATGGAGTCGACTCCAGGTACCCTGACAGTATCTGGGACCCCCAGTGCAGCCATGGGTGGGTTCCCTACTGGAAGATAAGGACACTTCCATGGAGACAAATCCTCACAGGGATTCTGGGCATGTCCTAGGGTGGCTTCATGTAGGTGTCTTTGGTTAGGCTTGGTCTGTCCCCAGCTGCAGGAGCATCCTGTACCTCTGCAGACAGTGCTAATGTAACATTGCTTTGTCCAGGCATTGAGTTCTCTTTCCCCACCACAAACTCGACCCAGACCTCAGAGGTTACCCACAGCACCCCTGCAGACCTGCCAATGCCGCCGCCCGTCTGCCCCACTGGCTCGTCCAATACCAGTAAGTGCAGTGCCTGTGGGCATCACCACCCACCCATTTTGGTTTTGGGCTGCCACAGTCCAGTGCAAGGGGTCCTGGAACCCCACTGCTTTTGCCATGCTCTCAGTGAAGGGGCATTGATGCTCTGGGGAATGTCCTCTGGGTTTGCTGTACAGTGGGAGGGTTGTTCTCCTGACAGTGTAGGGTAGCCGTGACACAATTAACCTGGGAGGAGGTCCCGTGTCTGCCAGTGATGTGATGGAGAGACCCCTAGGTTCTTTGGCACAATCCAAGGTTCAGGGGTAATAAAAGGAACCACATTTTTTGTCCCTAGGTGCATCTCGCCTCTTCCTGTCGCTGCGGCTAAGCACCCCCCTGGACCTGGGCAACAGCACGGTGCAGGAGCTGGTGTTGTCCAAGGTAAGGTGTGTGGCAGGAGATGCCATTTTGCATCTGCCAGCCATGGTCCAGGCAGTCAGGGAGGGGTCAGGCAGCCAGTGGGAGGAGAATGGCTGGGTCTTGCATTGAATGTCACCCACAGCCCTTTTGGATGAAGGGGAGACCCTCTAACTGCCACACTTCAGGACCAGGCCCTTTTGAGGTGGGAACAGGGAGGTAGGAAACCCCCTCTGGCACAGTTTGATGGCTGTTCTTTCTCCCCAGCTCCATGAGGACCTGCAGACAGCATTCCCGTGTGCTGGCCTGTCACTGGAATGGCGAGGGAAGAGGAGCCCTTGACCACCGCCCCTTGCCCTGCCAGCTCCCACACGTAGTGGCAAACCATCTGCTCCTGGCTCCTTACTCCATGGCAGTGCAGCCCCTTGGGGTAACCTGCACAGCTCCTTTTGAACTTGGGGCTCCCCGTCCTTCCCTGTGCACACCCTGGGCCCCCCATGGGCTGCAGTGCCCCTGCCCCTTCCCACAACCTGTCTGTAAAGCCCAAGACCTCCCACCACCCTGCTCCAGACCTGGCTCCTGTGGTGGGACCCCTTCCAGCACTGCCAGAGGGCTGGGAGGAGGGGACCCCATGGGACTGGGCTTTTACAACTGAGACTGTGCTGGCTCAGCCATCAGAGCCGCCCTGGGGACTGATGGATGCGAGGAAGGAGAGACCTGGAGCCCCCAGTACTGCTGTGCCCAAGGCTCACCTGCGGTATTGCTGACAGAGGAGCACGCCCATGCCAGCATGGGCTGGGCAGTAAATAGAAACTCCATACTTTCTGTGTCGAAGTTGATGACTTCTTTATTTTCCAAGTTGCCTTTCACAGTTTTCAGCTTTGCCATCTATTAGAGGTTCCGGCGAGGAAAACCGTCCGAGTCCCAAAAGCTTCACATGGAGAGACGGGCTCGGGGACGTTCCCTCCTGGCAGGGGCGGCTGCAGACATTCCCAAGGGTGGCTGGGAATCCTGACAGACTGGGGGTCCCTGCTTTGGTGCTCTCTGCCCCATGGCACCCCACAGCTGCCAGGGCAGCTGTACACACCATGGGGCCGTGGAAATCCTGTGGGCTGTGCTCCTTCCCTGTTTTTTTCCAGTCCCCAGCTAAGGAGACGGCCGCAACATCTGTCCCCCTGCAGCAAAGTCATTTATTAACTGATTAATTAGCCAGATAAAATCCAACCGAAGCAATTATTAGCCTAAGCAAGTCACCTCGCCTGGAGATTGAAAACTGAAATAATTAGCAAAATAGCCTTGTTGCGTGTCAGGGATTGTTTTTGGCTGATCCCTATTCCTCACTGGCAGCCCTCACCGCCCCGGCACAGGGAGGGCTGGGAAGGGGCACATGGGGCTGTGGGATGCCAAACCTGGGGACTGCTCCCAGGCTACCGGGGTTGTCAACCATCTGGGAAGGAGCCAGCAGGCAGACAGGATGGGGAAGGACTCCGTGGGATCACCTGGCTGCCTGCCAGCTCTCAGGGGCTGGGAGAGGCTGGGCTGGGGCTGGAGGCTGTGCCCAGGCAGCTTTTCACGGTGCTCCCATTTGGGATGCCCCTTGCATCTCAGGGTTGCCCCTTTGCTCTTTAGGATGCTACCTGGCTTTTGTGGGCTTGTCAGACTCACTGACACTGAGCGAGGTCCCCTGGCACCCGGGCAGGGAGCTGGGGAGCAGGGCAAAACCTGCTGGAAGGGGTCCCCGTGCTGGATGCCTGATGGGGTGCTGGGAAAGAAATCCTTGTGGTCTGCCTACGCCGTGGAGTTGGGCCAAGAGTCCTCCCACGTCGTGTCCCACCAGGCTGTTTTCTCCGGCTGTTGAATCCATAACTTCAGACCCCGGGACATGGCTGGGTGCCAAAGCCGGCATAGTGCAGCCAAACTGCGTCACAAAGGGAGGAAAAGGTCCTGAAGCGCTGGGATGAAAAGGTGACTGGGGTACTCACTGTCCTCTGCCAGCACGGCTGCCTTCCACCATTATTGTGGTTGGGGGGCAGTGGGGGGAGGAGATGTTCTGATCCCCTCTGCCCCCAGCCTGGGAGGGAGAAGAGGGGCACAGTGGGGGCATGTGGCTCCCGTGAGCATGGTGGTCACTGCCCAGGCACGGGCAGCACAGAGCTCTGACAAGCCCCCAACACTGACCATGTTCTCCATGTCTGCCATCCTTGAGGATGCTGGCTGCCACCTTCACCGCATGGCTGCTTGCCTGCCACGGATCCCTGACCAGAGGGGCCTTGGGAGGTTGTATCCAGGTCCTGCTGCTTTCCCAGGCCACAAATCAGTTCTCACCATCTTTGCTGTGATCTACTGCAATCTACCAGCATTTTCCAAATGAGCAGACCCAGTGCCCAGCAGAGCTGTCACCTTCAGAGGGCCTGGCAGCATCACGGGGTGCCTGTCTCAAGTCCCTTGTGACTCAGATGTCCCTTCCAGTGTCCCCCTCCCTTTCACCTCTGCCGATGGCTATAGCCCAGCTCCTGCTGTTTGGCAGGAGAGTGTTGCAACACACCCAGCATGCCAAGTCATCCAGAACCTGTGGAGTTGATGGATAACCTGGTTTCCCCCACTACCACCCTGAGCCCTCTCCAAATGCCCTTGCCAGGAGGCTGGAGGGGATCCAGTAGGAGATGCTGTGTTCTCTACAGGGCTGGAACAACCAGCCCATTAATTCCAGGAAGGCTGATAAGGCACTGTGTTGGGCCATGCTCTGCTGTGCTGGATGGTGTAGAGCCCCTGGGTGCTGGGATTCATAGAATTGCCCTGTGGCTACAGGTTCCTGAAGGGCTCCAGTGCCCACACGATGCTTTGGTCCTTGGTAACTGCAGATGACAGTTATTCTTTCAGGAATCAGAGTTTTACCAGGATGTTGGTTTCAGGAGTAGCAGAAGAATCCTTAATAATCCCCTTCCCAGGGTGGGAGCAGGGCACCATCCTTGAGACAAGGCCTCCTTCAGTAGCTGCAGGCTTTCTTGGGAGGGTGTACCAATCAATGCCAGAGCAGAGAGACAAGTTTGGTGTGTCAGCGCCGTGACTCTGCTGGGAGATGAGTTTTCTTGGGGACAGCATGGGCAGGAGTTGCAGGTACAAGGGTCTCCAGGCAGAACTGGCCTGGGGAGCATGGACAGGAGCTTGCAGGAGGGCTGAGGCCACCGCCTTGCTTCAGCCAAATTGTTTTCCTCTATGCTAAGCAGCACGTTTGCAACAATCCCTGTGGTTCCTACCACATTTTGCACCTCAAACACCATCTGGAGCAACCCTCTCCAGCGTCAGCATATATTCCCTGTCGGGGTGGCTTTCCAAAGTAATATGGCATTGTCAGCACAGGCAGGAACAACTCTCCCACGGTAGGTTTGGATCCCTCTAATCCTCCATCAGCCCAGGTGTGGTGGCTGCTCAGGTGGTCACTGGCTGGGCAGTCACGCCATGATCTGCAGTGCTGGTTGCACAGGCCCCCAGTGCACTGTTCCCCCCTGGCTTCACCCCCACACTGGCATTTTCGGTGGGCAGGCGAACATTTGTTCCAGGTGAGCAGTGCTCCCCCCTGATTTACTGCTTGTGCCCTGTTCCCACTGCCGGGGGTAATGCGTGGGTTTACAGGATGGTGTTTCACCAGCCGTGACTTGGCCTCTCCTGGCATTTCCCTGTCGACTCTGCCCAGTTGGTGGGTTGGGAGTGTCACTTGACGTGCCCAGCCACTGCCACCTGCCCAATGGAGGCCAGCTCCATCAGGACACCGTGTACTGCCTAACGCCCCTCATAACACTTTGCAGGAGTTGCCTGGGGGCGTTTCTGGTTAAGAAGTGTTTAATTGACTACAGAACCGTGTAGTGGTGGAAGTTTGCATAATGTTGTTCACGGGGGAGCTGAAAGCAGTTTTCACAGGGGGAAGGGAGGGGGGGCGGGGGCGGTGGGGAGGTGTGAGAATTGCTGCTCCAGCAGAAGGAGGAAGGAGAGATATAGGGGTGAAGTGACCCAGGGGATCAAGGTGAAGCAACCCAGGGATTCCCCATAGCAGGGAAGGAGGTCCAGGCCTGTGAGTTTTCCTGCTCCAGCTTCTGGGGATGCTGGTCCCATCTTGTAGAGAAGCTTTCCTGGATAATTTGCTCCCTCTCAGCACTGCTGTGCCCATACTGAGATGCAGGTTTCAAACCCCACTGGGGTGTGCTGGGGCTCTGGACAGGGATCTCTAGGGCTTCTAATTGCAGCTGAGCACTGGGAGCTCAGCTGATGTCCCAGAGCCTGTCCCCAGCCATACATCCCTTCTTTATAACCTGAGTCTGCTCCCATGGAAGCTTTGAGCCGAGTGGGCTCTTGTGTCTTGCCTTGCCCTGGGCTGAGACATGGCTCAACTGGTGATTTTAGTGCCCATGGTGTCCTCACAGGCATGGTGAACCAGCTGACATTGCTCTGTCATGACCACACACTCTGTGGCCCCTCACCCTGCATGGAGCAGGTCCTGTGGGGTACGTGGGATGGCTGCCATGGGGAACAGGTGGAGTGACTGCCACGCCACTGTTGGCAGTGCCACACACTGTTCCAGGCTCAGCTTCACCTCCTGGTGCTGGTGGACCAGGGAACTGGGTCCTGCAGAGTGGGCTTTATGTAACTCCCAGCCCATGCCACAGCTGAACAGGGCATCCAGACCTTGGGAAGGGGAGGGTTCGACCGGAAGGGAATGGTGACAGGGACATTGGAGGGAAGGGACCGGGGGCGGGAGAGGACGTCTGCAACCTGCCTCCCTCTGCCATCCCTATAAATAGGAGGGAACAGGAGCAGGAGCACCTGTGGGACTCCAGCTCTGCGGGAGAGGCAGGCAGGGAGGGACGGAGGGAGCTGCTCCTTGCTGCTCTCTCCTCCCTTTGAGCTTCCTAGTACTCTGCCTGCGTGGAGGCCTGAGGCATGGCGACTAGGGGATGGACGCTCTCCACCTTCCTGGGATGCTGCGTATGGATTCTGCATGGTATGTTCAATATTTTTCTGCTAGCCCATGTGCTACCTGAGCTCTGTCAGGGTGCAGCAGGTACACTGTGAGATGCTTTTCCCTCCTGGCTGCACTGGAAAGTCCTTGCAATAGAATGCAGCCAAAGAGGTGGAAAAGTGTTTTACAGGACAGGCATCACCCCGAGGGGCTGGTTGCAGGCGTGGAGCCGTGGGAGAGGTGAGAGCCCAGCCCGGAAGCCTGCAGGCAGCCGTGTACCCCTCCAGCAAGGGAAGCCAGCCGGCAGAGCAGGACCCGGGGATGTTCCCATCCCTCCCACGTCCCAGGAAAGAGCAAATGCTGGTGCTCCATGCTGGGGCCCCTCTTCCATTAACTTCCCATGAATGGGCGTGTGGGGTAGATGGTATTTCCTGCTCCTCACAGAAGAATTAAAGTAAAACATAGATTTACTGGGGTGGAGTGTGCCAAATATACCTGGGGGGACTTCACTGATGCGCTTTATTTTCCCTGAGATGGGGAAAGAAGCAGCTTAGCTCCTCTGGCTGAGTGGGCTGGTGCAAAGAGCTTATTTCAGCTGGGGAAGATGGTGAGGAAGCAGCCAGCCAGGAAAGAGAACGGGGCTCTGGAAGAGAATGAACCCCTTGAGGACTGGTCTGGCATAGGAGATAATGCTCATTAATGACTCTGCACAAGCTATCTGTAAGCTAACGAGCTGAGCCAGCGGTGAGGTTGGAGGCACCTCCACTGCAGGGAGTTCTGGCTGCCTGTCAGGGGGAACCTGATGAACCGGAGCACCAGGGTGGGGAGCAGGCCGGGGCTGTCGGGCGGTGGTGAAGCTCTGGCAGGTCTTGCCATCGGGGTGCCCTTCATCTCCCCTAATTGCAGCTGCTTAAAGCCAAGCGTCAGCAGATCCACCCAGCTCCTCCTGGAGCCAGCAGAGGCAGCCTGGTCTCCCCAGAGCCTGCATCCCTGTCCTAAATATAATGCTGGGTGAAACATCACCTGTGGGTGCCACTGGGTGCTGGGAGAAATGTCTGGGATGTGGGCAGGTGTCTCCTCCTTTCATCAAAACTCCCTCATGTGGGTCAGGATTTTGGCAGCAGGAGGAGTGAGCTGTAAGCAGGGTTTGGCCGGGGCAGCTTGCAAATATTCCCTCCACGGGCAGGGAACCCCTGGTTCCTTCACCCAGCTGGAGGCAACAGAGGTGGAGGCAGTAGCAGGTAGATACCCACCCCAGTAGAGGTTTAACAAATCTGCTTGAACTGCAGCAGGTCAGAATCCATCTGCAGTCAGGGAAGGCTTCTCTAAGCCTTGGCTGTCCTCTCTGCCAAAAGGCTTTGGGTAAAGTTATTTAAATATCCCTCAGACACCCGGAAGGCAAAAAAACGCAGACCCCCTCCAGGCTCTGCAGAAGTGACTGCACTCAGAGCTGCCCCTGAAGCAGCAGAAAAAGGGCTGAGGGCTGTCCTGGGGTGGCAGAGCTCCATAGACACCCCTGGGGCTGTGAGCTAGACTTAATGGGCCCCAGCTGTACCCAGTGGCCGGGCAGTACCATCCCCAGCATACCTGAACTGGGTTGCAGTGGCTGCCTTTTCCTCCCCACTTGCACCAGTGTCTCTCCCTCACCTGTGATGAGTTGTGTCCTGTCCTATCTGGCAGCTGCTAATGCTGAGGATGGAAGAGGTGCTGTACAGTGCTATGCCTAAGGCAGCCCAGACTGCACTCCTAGGCTCTTAAATCAGAGGCCGTGATGCTCAGGTGGAGGAGAGGTGGGTCTGAGCCCGGCAGGCTGCTGGCTCCTGCACCCGGCGTAATGTTCTGCTTTGTGCTTCTCTACAGGGCTTGGGGCTGCTGCTGTCCCTGTCACTACGGAGGGGCCCTTTACTGTTGGGACAGCTTATCCCATCACAGCAGAGAATGAGGGACCCAGTGCCCTGGTGACAGGCACTGTGGACACAAGCACCACGGCAGCTGATGCTGAGATAGACGAGAGCATCTTCACGAGGAGCCCCTTGAGTTCGACCTTCCCTCCCGGCACTGAGCAGGACTCCTTTGTGACTGCGATGAGTGAATATGGCCCTACAGTGCCAACCTGGGTGAATGTGACCCAGCCTCTTAACACATCTCAGGGTATTGAGGGGGTGTTGGCTGCTCCCACTACAGCCACGACTGCTGCTGCTATCACTGAACAACACCCTGCTGTCACCCCAGAAGCAGAGTATGAGGTAATAGAGGCCACTCCTGATCCCACCCTAGACATCACCCCAGATGTGAAGGAAGACATCCCTGTGGCTGTGACCAGAGGAGAGGACATCGACCTCAACACTGGCAACATAGCCCTCCCTACCACCCCTCCACCAGCAGACACCTGGGTGCCACAGCCAACCGCTGGCAGCCCTGTGGGTGTTGGTGTCACTGTGCTGCCAAGCCAAGGGCTGACCACAGCCATGGAAGCAGTTGAGGAAGTCGTAACTCTGCCTGCATCTATCCAAACTGGAGCCAATGCTGAATCCTCAAGTCCCAGCCCCAGTGCTGAGGAGCTGCTTACGACCCAGCAGGGTGGAGTGGTGAGCGGGATTGAGGGCACTAACCCAGAGCCAGCAGAGGAAATGGCCCCAGCTGCTGAAGAAAGTCCCTTGGCTTCAGAGTCTGGGAATGCAGGAGATGCAACAAATGGTGAATTCAGCACAGCCAGCTCATCCCATCTACCTCCAGAGAGCCCAGTGATGTCAGAAACAGAGGGAAGCCCTGGGGAGCCCTCCCTCCTCCCTGGCCAGGCAATGCTGAGCCCAGATGCTTCGCTAGCACCGTCCACAGGGTATGGGGATGGGAAGGGAGTTCCTGGGGTGTCAACAGAAGCTTCTGGTTCAGCCCTGTCACCTGCAGCCAGCGAGGCACCAGTGGCACCCGAGGAAACAGAGGACACTGCCACATCACTGCTGGCCCCAGAGGTTCCCACTGATGCACAGAGTCATGTGAATCTCCCAACCTCAGCCACTGTGCTGTCCACAGGGGACATGGGGACTGTGGGTCTGGACAATCCATCCCTGCAGCCTGACCCATGGCAGACTCCCACTGGAGAACAGCCACCACTGCTTTCTGATGCTCTGACAGATACCCCCAGTGCTCCTGGGGCTGCTTACCCACCCCCAGGGGCTGAAGCCAACACCCTGCCTGCAGCTGATGGTGCAGCAGAGACACCATCCAGCCCCGACCTCACTACTGCCCCAGAAGCACCCATGAACTCTCCATCTCTCGGAGAGTCACAGCAAGCAGGGATGCCAGATGGAACTCCCCAAGAAGCTGATGGACCTGGCACTGGCTTGAGTTCAGATTCAGATGCCCCCAGCCCAGCCCCTGTTGTACCTGATGGACTGGCATGGCCCACTGCTGGGGTTCAGGGTCAGGGAGCTCAGGGGGCAGAGGAAATGGCACAGGCAGGAGGTCCAGGGGATGGCAGTCCCTATACAGATACCCAGAGTGACATGAGCCCTTCATCCCCCCAGCCCTCAGCCTCTCCTGCTAATAATGGAGACCTGCTGACTGGAGGAACAGGAGATTTGACAAATGCTGAGCAGTCCCCTCCATCAGCTCTTGGGGAGGGAACAGGAGCAGCAGGAGGTGCGCCGGCACTGGGAGAAGTGTCCTCACCTGGTTCTGCACCTCCCAGCAGTGCTGGAATGGAGCCCGACCTCTCAGGAGCTGAAGGACCAGTGGACCTGCCCAGTGAATCTGCCGGTGCTCCCGGGGCTGTTTACCCACTCCCAGGGTCTGTATCTGGCCCTGCATCTGGGGCAGAGACACCACTGAGCCCCAACCTCAGTGGTGCCCAGGGAGCACCTGGGTCTCCATCCTTTGGTGGGTCACAGCCATTGGGAACGGCAGCTGGTGCTCCCCAAGGAGCAGGTCTCCCTGGAGCTGAAGGACTAGACTCTGGCTTGTCTTCACCAGGAGATGTCCCCAGCTCAGCTGTTCATGGACCGGTAGGACCCCCATCACCTGCCCCTGGGGACCAGCTTGGCACAAACCTGGGGCTGCCAGCAGCCGGAGGGCCTGGAGTGGGCACGGCAGAGCAGGCACTGGAAGGAGCAGGCAGTGGGATTGATTCTGAACCGTCTCTGAGCTCCACCACAGACAGTGGGATAGATCAACTTCCTGGTGAAGGTGCCTCATCTGGTCCTGCCTCTCCCAGTGATGTGGTGGCAGCACCTTCTGTTTCAAGGGGTGATGAAGCAGGACCCATCCCAGGGGCAGTCCCTGGCCCCGACAGCCTGTCCCCAGCCTCTCCGGACAGTGAAACTGGTCTGCTGGAGGGGGCAGAGAGTGCAGGGAATGTGGCACAGGCTGGAAATCCAGAGATGGTTAATCCCTACTTGGAGACAAGTCCTTCAGGTTTCAGCCCTCAGCAGGACCCCACTAACACCGGAGAGGTGCTGACTGGAGGAACAGGAGATTTGACAAATGCTGAGCAGTCCCCTCCATCAGCTCTTGGGGAGGGAACAGGAGCAGCAGGAGGTGCGCCGGCACTGGGAGAAGTGTCCTCACCTGGTTCTGCACCTCCCAGCAGTGCTGGAATGGAGCCCGACCTCTCAGGAGCTGAAGGACCAGTGGACCGGCCCAGTGAATCTGCCGGTGCTCCCGGGGCTGTTTACCCACTCCCAGGGTCTGTGTCTGGCCCTGCATCTGGGGCAGAGACACCACTGAGCCCCAACCTCAGTGGTGCCCAGGGAGCACCTGGGTCTCCATCCTTTGGTGGGTCACAGCCATTGGGAACGGCAGCTGGTGCTCCCCAAGGAGCAGGTCTCCCTGGAGCTGAAGGACCAGGCTCTGGCTTGTCTTCACCAGGAGATGTCCCCAGCTCAGCTGTTCATGGACCGGTAGGACCCCCATCACCTGCCCCTGGGGACCAGCTTGGCACAAACCTGGGGCTGCCAGCAGCCGGAGGGCCTGGAGTGGGCACGGCAGAGCAGGCACTGGAAGGAGCAGGCAGTGGGATTGATTCTGAACCATCCCTGAGCTCCACCACAGACAGTGGGATAGATCAACTTCCTGGTGAAGGTGCCTCATCTGGTCCTGCCTCTCCCAGTGATGTGGTGGCAGCACCTTCAGTTTCGAGGGGTGATGAAGCAGGACCCATCCCAGGGGCAGTCCCTGGCCCCGACAGCCTGTCCCCAGCCTCTCCGGACAGTGAAAGTGCAGGAGATATGGCACAGGCTGGAAACCCAGAAAGTCCCTACTTGGAGACAAATCCTTCAGCTTTCAGCCCTCAGGAAGATCAACTGCCTGGTGCAGGTTCCTCATCTGGTCCTGCCCCTCCCAGTGGTGAGGCCATAGCATCCTCTGTTTCAGATCCATCCAGCCAGAGTGCACTTGGAGGAGTGGACAGTGCTCCTGGAGCTCTTCAACCTTCCCTGGGTGCTGGGCCTGGGGTTCCTGCTGCTGCAGAAGAAGGGGCAAGTGAAGTGGCTGGTAATGGAGAGTCCATGGGGCAGTCCCAGGCTCCTACTGGAAAGGGACCAGCTGGTTCAGGAACCCCCGATGAAGAAATGGGAGATGTGTTGCAGTCTGCATCTTCTTCCTCATCTACAGAGGGGTCTTCATTACCTGGGAGGACTGATGAGGCTGTTAATGAAGCAACTCTTCCCGGAGCTGGTGGAGCCGACAGTGGCTTGAACACAGGCTTGGAGGCTGCTGGCCCCCAGGAAGCCCCTGTGTCTGTCCCTGGCATCCAAAGTGGTGCCAATATTGGACTTTCTGATGGAAAACAGAGCCAGGTCGATGTGGTGGAGGTGCCTGGAGGAGCCTCGGTGAATGGGGGATCTTCCTCTTCCGCCACTCTGGTTCCAGTGGCTCCAAACAACAGCGGCGTTTCTGACAGCACGGCCACCTCAACAGCTGCTTCTCTGCTTCTTCCTGAGCATGGGCTGAGCTCAGGGCTGGCACCCAATGGAGACATCCACTCTGCCCTTGGCACCCAGAGTGGGAACAGACCACTGCTGCCAGGGGCACCGTCTGGGCTGCCAGGAGAGTCTGGAGGCGTTTCTTGGTCTCTTGAAGATGAACTGGCCTCAGGGATGCCAGCACCTTTGGGAGAAGCATCCCCCCATGCTCCCGTATCCCCCAATGCTGCCCCAGTGCTGCCTTCTGCTCCACAGAGAGGAAGTGCTGCAGAAGGGGTTTCTGTCAGCCCTGGGCTTTCCGCTCCACTTGCAGCACGTGAGTCGATAGTGGGGTCCTCTGCAGGGGGAAAGGGGGAGCTGGGGGCTTCTGTGCCAGGGGCACCTGTCTTGCTCCTGCCTCTCTGCCAGCCAGGAAGCACTGGAGCCCCCTCAGGGGTTGCTGACAACCCTGTGCCTGGGAAAGCAAGTGCTGTGCTCCCTGGAGTGATGGCAGGGCAAGAGGACATGGCTCAGCTCCTTCCCAGTGTGACTGGATCTGGGGCAGATACGGAAACATCCACTCACTCCCCACTGCATGGGAGCCCAGGGCTCCCTGGCCTTCCTCCCACTGGGATCACTGCTGGTAGCGCTGGATCAAAAATCCCAGGTGTGTGTCCTACTGGTGGCTCACCATCCGCTGCCCTGCAGCCTATCCTGGACAGTGAGCTGGCCACCAGCTCAGCAAATAGAGCTCCTGCCACCACCGGGTCAAGCCTCCCCAGAGCCTTCCCAGGCCAGGGGGGATCCCAGGGAGGGTCCCCAGCCACTGCATGCCCCGGCACATCCTGCAGCCCAGCCCCTGCTGACCCAGGTCCACAAGCCCCCCTCCTCAGGGGCAGGGAGGTGCTTCCCAGGCTGGGAACTGCCACTGTCACCTCCCACACATCGTCCCCTGTGGTTCCAGCTCCACCAGAAGGGCCAGCAGCTGCCCCGGCCCAGCTGCCCAGCCCCGCAGGTACGTGACGCTTGCAGGGCAGCCGGGTGGGAGTAGCACATCCAGTTTCCCGCCGGACCATCCTGGGGGACATTCAGTGCCCAGAAAGCAAGGGGCTATTTGAGGCCAGGGCCATGGAGGACACGCAGCATGAGAGCCCCCTGCACATGAGCGTACACTGCTGGCAGGCTGAGCCTGCCTTCAGTACGGTCCCATCAGCTGGAAAAACCATCCCTTCCAAATGTTTTATTTAACAGACATAAATAGGGAACTGGAGGCTGTAAACATCTCTAGAAAGAGCTGTGGGTGTTTAATTCCCTGCTGTCCCCCTGATGTAGTCCTGTAGAATGTTTTTCCCCTCCTAACAGCTGTCCTTAAGAGCAATATCCCAGCGGGGCTGGATAAGGGAGGGGATAGTGACCACAAAGGCCATCACAGCAGGTTTAGAGCAGCTGTGTCCATGTAAGGCAGTGAAAGGGGTGGGAGTAAGCTCCTGCAAGGCAAGGTGACATTAAGAGTGTTCCAGGTGGTTATTGGCAATGTTCCTCCATCCTCCTTCTGCCCAACCTGTGTCCCATTGAAAGCAAAATAATTTCAACCCTTTAAAGTTTTTTGGCACAGACCAAAGGCTGTGCTGTAAGTGTATTTTGAGGTTTATTTTTTTTGTGTTTACTTTTCCAGTTCCAGCTGTGCCCCTCTATGGGTATGGAGCAAGGGAAAATGATCGGGAGTATGTGGAAAGGAGAGTGGATTTTAATTCTCCGCTTTTCAAGCCCGAGACTGGATTCCCATTCGGGAGAACCCTGCGTGACTCTCTCTACGTGAGTCTACCTGTGCTTGATTTGCTTGGGCAAGCAGCTATCACCCAAAAACCTGGGAAAGGCACCAGGGACCAGATGCCTGGAATGGGGCCTCGGCAGGGCCAAATCTATGGGGATGCTGCCAGGGTGTGTCTGCAGCAGGACGTGACTTTGTGGCCATTTTGGCAGTAGCAGGTGGTGAATTTCCCTGGGCATGGACTTGGAAAGTCCATGTGGACTTGGAAATGGGAGGGCTGCCATCCCAGTGTCAGGGAGTGCCACTGGTCTTGATCTCACCTGATGGAGGGATCCCTCTTCTCAGTTTACAGACAATGGACAAATCATTTTCCCAGCCTCGGACAAAGGCATCTTCACATATCCCAACCCTCCTCCCAGCGGCTTCAATGGCCATGAGGAGGTTCCCATGATCGCTGTATTTTGGGACAACGCCGACTTCTCCAGAGGTGTGGGCACCACCTTTTACCAGGTGAGTGAAGCCCCCTGGGTGCAGGTGTTACCTTTTGATTATAAACTCATCACCTACTATGTGGATGCCCCATGAGACGTGTAATTAATGGAGCCCATGAGGGGGTTTTCCTTTTTCTGGGTCAAATCTGTGAGCTGTTGGTCCTGTGTCACATCTTGAGCCATCCAAATTCTATCCAGACCCTTAGTTGTAAGGATCTGTGCATGACCCCAGTCTAGATCAGTCTTTTCCCTGCTGGGAGCTAATGCAGATGTGGGTGTATCCAACCTGCAGGAGTTCTCCACCCTCAACACGGCCAAACCTCCGTTTGTCCGTGACGTGGAAGCGAAGGTTCGGCGGTACATGAGGTCCTCCTACTCTGCAGCCTGGACCCTGAAAATCACCTGGGAGAAGGCACCTGTCTATTCATCATGGACTGACCCCCGGAAGGTAAGGGGCTGATGGATCACATAGGCTGGTTGAGTTGTCAAAACAACCCAAGATCCACAGGAGATCACTTTTTCTGTGCCTGAAAATAAGAAACCAGTTTTGTGACAAAGGCCAGTCTTGAAGAATTTTGCCAAAAAGGACTGGACTGTGCCCATGTTTTGGTGGTTTTCAGGTTTTTTAAAGGGACATATTTAGTTGAACTCTTCCTACTCTGTAAAACCTTTCTCTTTAATGTGGTGGGAGTTCGCTGAGCACCAGAAACACTGTTCTTCAGAGGCACAAAATGGTGTGAATTTGAGTCTTGTCATGGAACAGCTTCAAAGTAAAACCATCACATTTTCCATGCAAAATGTGAACCGGCTCAGGCTGTGTTTGCCTTGCAGCTCCAGACCTCAGTCCTGCCATTCCCCAGAAAGCACTGACCCATCCCTGATTTTAAACCCACCGTCTTCGCTCATTTTCTTACCTCTCTGCAACACTTGTCTCCAGACCATCACATACCAAGCTGTCCTGACCACCGATGGCTTCAGGTCCTACATCCTGATGCTGTACCAGGATGGAGGAATGCAGTGGGATTACACCAGGCTCGCTGCCACCAATGTGCTCATTGGCTACACCAGGTACAGCAGCTCAGCACCCCATCCCTGCCAGTTCTGAGCAATGGGGTACATCCCACCCATGGTTCCAGCTTGTTGAATCCTTCCCTGTGTGCCAGGACATGTCCTACAAGGATGAGGATGAGGACAACCCAAATGGGGTCTGCGTGCCCATATAGCCTAACATATGGGTGTCTCAGAACTGAATTTGCTTCATCAGTGACTGGCTCATGCTGCAACATGCTGTCTTGCTGGGCTGTGCTTGTTGTAAGATCCACAAATCCCTCTGGAGTCCTGGGCCCCCAGCATCCTGGCAGTTTGGGTGGAAGGAGTGGGAAATAGGGGATGTTTGCTGAACTTTGCACCAGTTGAGGGAAGGGATTTCCGTGCTTGGCCAGAGCAGTCGCTTCCTGCCTCCTCACATTACATCTTGCCCTGTACACAACGTCTCCTGGGTTTCCTCATTAGCTGCTTGTTGCAGCTGGGTAAGGAAAAGGTGGCCTGGACTGGAAGCGCAGGCGGCACAGGGGTGTGTGTATGTATGTGTGTGTGTGTGTCTGTGTGTCTGTGTGTCTGTGTGTGTCTGTGTGTCTGTGTGTGTCTGTGTGTGTCTGTGTGTGTGTGTGTGCACTTCCCTGTGCGTGACTGCTTGTGGGTTTCTGCTCCATCTCACCCAGCAAGATGCTGAAAACCGTGAGAGCTGCTTGTGGGGGTCTTCAGGTGTCTGTGGGTTGCACCCCTGCTGCAGCAGGAAAGTTTGCAGCACCCAAAACTAACTGCACCCTGCACAGAGGAGGAAGCTGGGGGAGATGGTGTCTTTGCCCTCCTGTCCCTGGAGCTGCCCACTGATCCTGCCTACTCAGTATCAAGAGGGTTGAAAGGCAGTCTGAGGAGGGAGCTGGGATAATCCCACCCAGGAAAAGCAACCCCTGATTTTTCCTCTTTCCTCTGTCCACAGTGGGGATGGCTTTTACCACAACGATGACCTGAGTAAGAGACCTCCAGCTGCCAAATATCGCCCTGACCAGTTCAGGGGCTACAACACAGGTAATGCCACACAGCCAGGGCAGGTTCACAAGGATCACAAGGAGGGGGATATTCCTGGGGAATGAAGTCCATGCTGCCACTGTGGCAAGGCTCTCAAGGAGTTCACCAAGGCCAGGCTTTCCCCCCAAGCACATAAAACTTGCTAAAATACCCTGAGGCTGAAACATCCCTGCTGTGGCCATGGACTATTTTTGTTCCAATGGCTGTGTCCAAAGGCTTTCTTATTTGGCAAGAGCGGCTCCCCATTTCCCTGCTGTTGGGTGGCTGTTGAGGATGGGGTCCCATGGCTGGGGGTCGATGCGGGCTTGGCTTCCAGCATCTGCATCACACAGCTATGACCTCGAGGTGAAACAGCCCCTGTGGGCCCCTTGGCTGGACGTGACAGTTCGTGGTTTCTCTCCCTGCTCAGACCTCCGTGGGCTGTGGATTTACAAGCTGGAGAGTCGTGTGGGCATCAACTACCGGCTGAAGTGCCTGGCATGGACGGGGCAGCAGCAGGAGCCGCGGACATGGAGCCAGGGCCTGCCCTCCTGCCCCTGCTCCCTGCAGCAAGGGCAGCAGGATCCACGCTTCAAGAGCAGCCGTGGAGGCAAGTGGACATGCTACTTCCTCACCCTCCTCATCCCTGAGCTGTCCCTCCCCATCTTCCCTGCAGGGTGGCTGGGGTCCCTACTGGCAGGGTGGGCAGGTGACCCTAAGGAAAATGGGGGGGGGCTGCCCTTCCCTGCAGAGACAGGGAAAGTAAGGAGGAATGAGGGCTGACCTGTCCCTGTCACGTTAGACTGTCCAGAGCTGATCTAACACAGATAGGGATGCTGGGGGCCAGGATCTCACCCTTGAGGACCACTTGGATGGTCTCCATCAGTCCCTCCAAACCCCTATAGCACCGTGGGTCATGTGGATATCAAGGAGGCATCCCCGGCCCCACTCCTTGCCCCGAGGCAGAGGTGGTGGCCAGGCAGAGCTGCCTGAGGCTCACTGCAGTCCCGTTTCAGGCCGATGGGCTGCCCGTGTCTCCATGCTGCACTCGGCCTCCCCCAACCAGCACGGCGCCGGCGTCCGCTGCCTGTATGACAGCCAAAACCAGCTCATCGAAGGGCGGCAGGAGAGGTACTGGAGGTCCTCCAGGCAGGCGTCACCCTACCGTGGTAAGCACAGCCAGCCTTGGCATCCCCTGGCTGGGACTGGCATTGTTGTAGCTTGTAAACAATTTTAATCTCCGTGCCAATCTGTTTCCTGACATGCTGTTTCCCTCGGAGGGAGTGTGGACCAGCTAAAAGCTGAGGCAAGCCTTGCCCTGGAGCCAGCCTGTCTCCTCTCCATTCTCCTTCAGCCCCTTACTCTCCTTTTTGCCTCCAGACCAGGAGCTGAAGCTGTATGACTGGTGCTGCAACCGGGCGGGCAGTGCCCACCTCTGCACCCGCTACAGTGAGAAGAGGCCAAAGATTGGCTGTGATGGATACCAGTCACCTGGCATGGGTGGGTTTCCAGCCTGTGAGTGCTGGGGTGATGCTGTCTTGGTGGCCAGGGCTGGGGAGGGAAGCAGGAATGTCCCAGTCTCCCCGTGGTGAAGGCAGGAAGAGCCCTGGGCGGATGAGGGAAAGGATTTGGGGCACCCACATGTAGTCGTGCCATGCCCTGAGCTGTGCAGGGCTGTTGGGGGCATCTTCCTCAGCACAGAACCAACAGCTTTGTCTGAGGGTGACAGCAGTGGGAGGGGAGGAGGACCACAGCTGACGTGGTTATGGTGTAAGCTAATGCAAGGCTTTCTTGCAACCCTGAACAGATTCCTCGGAGGAGGTAGAGAGAGACTCGGGTGAAGAAATAGGTGAGCAGGATTGCAGGTCTCCTTTCCTTCTGTCCATGTACCCCTGCAAAAAAGTGTTCTGGGGCTACCAGTTTGCCCCAGGCCCGCCTGAGGGTAGGTGACTGAGCAAGTCTCATTTCTTCTTTGCAGATGAAGATGACGAGTAACTGGGGGGTTGCACACCCACAGCATGGTCTGGGCCACGGCTGATCCTTCAAGTCCTTTGCTCTGCTCATCCCCTGTGTCCCCCCCTAGAACCCATTGCCCCTGCCCACCACGCAGGGCATCTCACTTGTCCAGTGCTTGTGGTTGCCTGCACTGGCAACTTCATATTTCTACATGAACTACATTTCCAACCCAGACTTGTCCCAAGGAGTCAGTTCCTTCAGTTGTCCTTTCCCGGATGCAGCTGAGTGGGTGCCCGTGGGCACCTCCTTGCTGGCGGGGAGGTGACAGGTACCCCCCACCACACACACCACCCTTGTCCTTCCTACATCCCACTGTGCTCCCACACTGCTGGGTGAGCCTGCACCCCTGGCACCCAGGGAAAGGGTTTCTACACCTCACATGGGTTGACTCTGGCCAATCCCCTGAGTGCCAGGGAGCACCAGGCTGGTCCCATGAGCCAGTCCTGTCTTGTCCCCCACCCATCTCTCACTGAGTGGTCCCTGGGCCCTGTGCCCAGGAGAAGGGACCGATTCTCCAGATCAAGCCAGAATCAGCTCAACCTGTCTGCTGGGTGTGTGAGGGCAAAATGCATCCCCATGATCAGAAATGTTGGGAGAAAAATAATATTTGCGTGTAAGTGAGCACCTTCCTTTCTTACAAAAAATAAATCATTGTCAAATCTTGTTTGTTCAATAAAACCTCTGAAGGTTCTGAGCATCACTGATCCTGCAGCAGCCCTGTCCTCTGCCGAGCTGGGGTGGGAGGTGGTGGTGGGGCAGGCTTGGAGCAGCAGGATTGCAGGATGCTTCTGTCCATGGATTGAGAGCTGGGGATGTGGGTGTCTGGGCTGCAGCTAAGCCAGAGTCTAGGGCAGTTGGTGGGGCTGGAGTTGGGATCTGACGGGGTCTGATACACTCTCCTTGGATCAGCATTTCCCATCACCAGGGTTGAAGGGCCATAGGGGGATTGTGGGGACCACAGCCTGACCTGTGTGATCTGAGCCATTGTAAGCAGTGTCCATGAAAACAGTGAGAGGAGACTTGCAGCTTTGCAGGGGGAATGAGAGGATGGAGCAACCAAAAAAATCCATCTTCACTTTGGTTCTGTGAATGGGACCAAAAAAAAGCTGGTACTTGATAGCTCAGCAGGAGGGAAGAAGAGCTGGTGAATGGACCCCCAGAGTACAGACAATTTAGCAGCATGCCATAATTTTTCGTTTATTCTATTTTGTTCCTATCAGATTATACTCACTGTTTTGCCCCACCTGACCTGCTATCAGGGACTCTACATGGTTTGGTTACATTGCACTAATGAATATCCCAGTGCAGACACATTCAAGGTCAATCCTGGTTGTCTCTGCAGATGGGAAGGTGCAATCTTCTTGCTTTGGTCACCCAACATAAACCCCACATTTTTCATTCAAAAAAGCTCCTCCTCCAGAGCGGATCCTCCCGCAGAATCCAAAAGCCTGTCCTCTGCTTCCATGTGTTGGTGTTGCTGGAGACCCTGAGAGCAAGAGCAGAGCGGGAGGCAGCATCTGATTCCTTGGTGAGCCTGGAGGAGTCGGAGCAGGACCAGTGGCAGGCTAGGGCTGTTGCAGGGGCTGGTTTGGGGGCCTGATGTGGGGTCTCTGGATCTTTATCTGTAAATAAGGACAGGCCTCATGATGTTGTCAGTATTGCACGGGCTCTGCTCTCAACAAAGAGCTCAGACAGTGGTGTGCATCCCAATGCCAGCCAAAGCATCCACGATGCTCCAGGACAAGGCACAACTCTCAAGCATCTTCAAGGCAGGGGGCCAGGATTCAGTTCCCAGCCCAAAGCTCCCCACCCCAATGCCCCACAGGGACAACAACCCCTGGGCAGACCTGGACTGAGGGGTCAATAGCCTGGAGCTGCGGTTTCCAGGGCCTTTCCAGGGAGTGGGAGTGGATGGGCTCTGCTTGCTCTTCTGCCATTGTCAAAGCTGGAGCAGGGAAGATGAGCAGAGCTTGAAGACTGGGGTGAAGCAGAGCCTTGGTGGAGGCAGTTTGCAGGGATGTACTTACAGGAGAAGGGCCGTGTCCTCCAGAAGGTCTCCTTGGCCCTGAGAGGGGGGAACAGAAAGGGGACAACATGTGTGGGGATGCTGGGAGAGCCCCTGCCTGCTCCTGGAGTCTGAATCAGATGGTGAAGGGACCAGTGACTGACTGTGGGGGTGAGATGAGGCTGTGAGAAGAGGAAAAGCCCCAGTTGCTGTGCACACAATTTCTTGCTTTGCCACGAGTGCAAACTAACAAAGTTGCTTCCTGGAGATCCCCGGCTCCAGGGCCAGCAGGGAGCTGGGAACATGGGCAAGACACACCTCCAACCAGAGCAGGTGGCCTGGGGCTCTAAGCTTCCCTTGGTTGAGGTTGCCACCCCAGGACCAAGGGCTGGGGGGAAAGGAAGGAGATGATAGTGCTTGCACCTAGCCTTGCACTTTGCCATTCTTCTGTTAACTCCCTGCTCTGCTGGAGAGGAAGGTCCGATCCTGAAACCACTTTTTCCTTACTCCAGGCCATCTCTTTCCAGACATGTGAATGTGAATTGCAGTAGAAATCATTTGGGTGGTATTCAAATTAGAGTTAAATAAAAAGCCTATCTGTAACCAAGCAATGGGTGGGATGAGGAAGAAATGCAAACTTTCCCTGACACAGTGAGAAAGGGAAGTTAATGTTCAACCCACCGATGCTATCGCACCTCTGAGCAGCAGATGACTGGGAAATGAGCTGAAAAATGCTAAAAGGTCACCCAGTCCCTTCCCCAGACCAGATAAGTCCCACCACCTGTGGATCTTCCAAAGGTGAATTTTCCATCAGATTTTCTTTCTGACACCCAACCTGCTCCCCTGCTGTACCCCCAGCACCCACCCCAGTGTGGGTCCAGTCCATGGCTCACCCCTGGTGCTGGCGGTGGTACCGGCGGCAGAGGTGCAGGGTCAGGCAGGCGATGGCAAACAGGAGGCAGAGCAGAGCCAGGGCTCCCAGCAAGATTCCAAGGAAGGCGGCGAGGCTGATGGCCAGCCACTCGCAGCGGGTGCCGGCCGGGGAGAAGATGGAGAAAGGCAGGCAGCTGTGGATGGGGAAAGAGGAGCAGTGATGCCGTGGGGAGATGTGGCTGTGCTGGGTGGCCTTGTCCACCCCAGTGGTACTGCTACCTGCACGTGGGCCCCTCGGGCAGGTGCTGGCACCGGCTGCCGTGCTGGCAGTAGCCCATCTTGCAAGGGGAGACGCAGACAAAGCCGATGGTCCCCACGTAGTGGAGGCGGTAGCCCTTGTAGCCATACAGAGCACAAGGGAAATAGTCCCTCAGCTCAGCCACTGTCACTGGGGAGAGAGGGCACACGGGTTAGGCCACACAGCATCACCCCTTGATGCTACTTCAGATCTCCCCGAGCTGGACCTGTGCCTGGGGTGGGGGAGGCTGCCCATCCTCCTACCCCTCAGGCATTAACTGAATGCTGGGGCACAGAGAGGGCAATGGGAACAGCGGGGTGCTCCTCCCACGCTCCATAGCTCAGCGCTGGGAGCAACTCACGCTTCACCAGGTCAGTGATGTTGTCCTGGTGCAGGCGCTGGAAGAGGAGCCCTGTGCCTGCCTCCCGTCGCCCCTGCCACCCATTGAAGGCTCTGGTGATGGCCACAGGCAGCTCCTCGTTCAGGAATCGGATGACGGTGCTGTGGCTGTCATAGGCAAACTCAGACACCACCACGAAGGTGAAGCCATCACTGTCTGTCCTGCAGGAAAAGATGGGGCTGCTGACAGAGCCACTGCTGCATCATAGAGTGACTGAGCCTCACTGTGCCTCAGTATTCCCATTTGGGTGGTGTAAAGAAGGGATGAGGCAGGAGGCAGAGGATGCCAAATGGCTTGTGTCTCTAGGGGTTTACCAGCATCAAAGCTGGAAAAACAGACTCTGGGGTGGGGGAAAACGCCCTTTGTACATCAAACCCTGTGGCCCCATGCCCAGCCCTGCCCTGACAGATCACTGGGGTGGGCATGGGTCTGCTTCACTGCTGACTCACGTCTGGGTGACGTTGGTGTTGCTCTGGAAAGTCTTTACCTCCAGGGAGCCCAGGATGGCTGACACCTGCAGCAAGGGGAGTGGGAAGGCATTAGGGGAGGGCAGAATGGCACCAGCATGGGGAGAGGCTGAAGGGTGATGCAGGCACATTGGCTGAGCCCCAAGGGTTGTCCTGGCCCTTGGTTCATGTGCTGGGAACCTGGCACATGGCTACAGTCACAGCTGGCATCACACAGATGGTATTTCCTCCCTGTGGGCTTGTGGATCTGCTGGATCCCCAGAGATCCCATAGGAGGGAGGCATAGGGAGGCATGGGCATCCCAAGCTGCCATGCTGCCCAGTGTGCTGGTGTCCCCCCCTCCCTCAGCCCTTCCCCTCCAGTGACATACAGTGCTGTTGACTTCCTCAGCAGTGGTGTTTAGCAGTGTCCTGACCCGCAGCTGGATGCTTCGCCGGGGCAGATCTGCTGGGGGAAAGACACAGTGGTGGCTCTGGAATCCCAGGACAGGGGTGAGTGGGATTGGGGTTCACCCCTCACCGGGTACAGGCACCCACCTGCACTAGGCAGTGGCCGAAAATCCCCCCCCGCCACCAGGCAGCGCTGGTCGGTGAAAGCGGAGGGGCAGGCACAGGTGGGGGTGCAGGTGATGGGGTGCAGGTGGCAGCGTCCCCCGTTGCTGCAGTAGCCCTCGGGGCAGGAGCGGGATCCACAGGCTGAGCCACAGCCTGGCCTCTCACCTGCAGAACAGGGAGCCCAGATCAGCTAGAGGCATCAACCTGGCCCCAGGGCACTGGGCCATCTGCAGCCACTCTGTAAGGTCTTTCTTCCAAGATTTGTTTTGTTTTTCTTTTATATGTTAGGACTTGTAGTGTAAAGTTAGATCCTCAAGCAACAGCCCTGCATCCCCCTCTCTCAGCTGCAGCCATTTGCCCTTGTGAAATCCCAACCTGCTGCAGTAGAATGAGAGCAAAAGCCATTACCTCAACCCTACCACAGCCATCTGAAAACAGGGCTTGATTTCAGCCCCAAACCTCTCTCCAGTCTCTTCTGTTAAGGACAGCAAGGCTTGGGCTCAGAGCTCAGCCAGCTCCCCCTTCTCTACTCTCTGGCCAGCCTGGGTCCCGTAGGAACTCTCTTCCAGAATACCCAGGGGTGATGGGGCTGAGGACCGTTCCTGCCAGGGAGTGTGTACTCACTCTCCTCACCGGCTGGGCAGGAGCAGACGTAGCTGCCCACCGTGTTGGTGCAGGTGGCGTTCCCCAGGCACTCCGTCCCCTGCGCGCACTCGTCGATATCTGCCGAGGCAATGCACCGTGGCACCAGGGGTGCCACCTTGGCTCTGGTCCTGCAGGCTCTCCAGGTTCCCAGCAGCCAAAGCGAGCCCTTGTCACCTGAGCAGTGCTGTCCATCACCAGTCAGGCCAGCTGGGCAGGGGCCACAGCCAGTGTACGGGTCACAGCCCACACCAGGGAAGCATCCCTGGGAGCAGGGGTCCGGAGGGTCCTGGCACAAGGGACCTGAGTAGCCACTTTCGCACCTGCAGGCTGCCAGCTGGGAAGGGGACAGTGAGACTGGCTTAGGAGGATGGGTGGACAGAGAAGACAGCCAGCACAGCTGACATGAGGACAGGCACGGTGTGACACCAGAGGAGCTCTCTGGCACACTACCTGCAGGGAAGACTCCCTGAGGGTGACAGTGTTGCTGTAGTCACACTCCTGGCTCCTGCTGCATCTGCAAAGGGTGAAGCGGAGCTGGAGGAGCGCAGAGAGGTTGTTGGACCCGACAGCCTCCAGGTTAATGGTGAATGGGACTATCCCACGGGGTTCCCACGTCAGGGTGCCATTCTCTGCGGGGAGTAGAGGTGGGAGTCAGAGGAGGTGGCAGAGGAAAGGGTATGCCCCCATTCCATCCTATCCCATCTTCCCCATCTCTCCTTCTGTACCTGATATGTTGAGTTCTGGTGAGAGGTGAGGCACAAAGCGCGCACCCACCCCCAGGGCGTGGTACTGCCTTCTGACCTTCTCTGCCCTGAATGCCGTGACCGAAGCGTCACCGGTGATGACCGGAGGGAAGGAGTCTGAGGAAAGAGCAGTGCAGCACACTGGTGGTTTGCAATTGTGGCCTTGTCACCCCTTGGCTCTGAGTCCCTCCTGAGGACGGGACCCCAGGCAGGTGCTGCTGTGACCACCCACTAACAAGGCCCTTGTGTTGCACAGCGTGGTGGCATCTCCCAGGCTTGGAGGTGAACCAGCTGGGCAGTGCAACTCCAAGACCTTGGTGATTTCTCTCCTGTCTCATGTGGAACAAAAGAGCCCAGGGAGGGAGCAGGGCATTGTGCAGTTACCCCAGCCATGGAGGTGAGGATCTGCTTCACTTACTGAGTACTGTCTTCCTCTGCTGGAAGTCAGCTGCAAGGCTCTGGGTGGCCAGGCCCAGGGCCAAGTTCCCTGTGCTCAGTGAATCGTAGATACACTCCTTGCTGCCATGACACTGTGAGGCTGCCAGCTGGTACTGGTTTTCATTCTCCTGCCGCAGCCGAGACAAGAAGATGGGTGTGAAGTTCAGTGCCAGTGAGTCCAAAGGCTGAGCAAACAGGCTGTTCTCACCAACAGCCCCTGCAAGAGAGCAACCATGGAGACAGTCTTGAGTTTTTAAGGTTCCTTATGTTTTAGGGTTCATTTCCACGGAGCAGTGAGGAGACCAAAGGGTTTTTCAGGCGTCACTGTTTTTCAGGCAAGTGTTTAAATGTTTACAGCTAAAGCATGCCCAAAAGGTGCAGGAAGGAGGGGATCATCAAGGTGGATCCTAAGCATGGACTTACAGGTCATCCCATAGTTATAGATTTCCTCCTCGCTGCTGTTCACAGGGATGCTGGTACCATTTGGCATCTGGAAATCATCTGCGGGGTCATGGTCCCACACACCTGGTGGAGCATTACCAGAGGGATGGAGTCTCCCTCGACAAGTTTGACATCCTCTCCAGTGCTGGCCAGAGTTTAGTTTAGACCCAGGGGTTCCCACCCTCACAAGCACATTCCCCCAGTTTTCCAGCCTGCTTTAAGTTGGGAAGGGAACTTGCACCCCAGCTCTGCAACAGTGCCAGAAGTCCTCACCCAGGAGGCCCTTGGTGCTGTTGCGGTACCAGTCGGGCAGGCTGCAGACCACGCTGAGGATCCCGGAGGTGGCCGAGATGGAGATGGCGATGGTCCCATCAAAGACGGCCGTGACAGAGGAGGCATTGATCAGCAGAACTCCAGGGCTGTAGTACACCTCGTCACCCATGTCTGCAAGAGAAGTAGAGCACAGAGGAAGAGTCTGCTCAAGGTTGGGGTCTGAAATGAGGACCATGAACTTGTGGAGGGGAGTGCTCCCCATCCACCCTGCCCAAACCAGAGAGAGGTGCAGGTGGGAGATGTTTGATGGAGCTCAGGATGGTTGCCCTTATGCTGGGCAGGGCTGGTGCCAGTGGCTAGGGATATTCCTTGTCTCCTGCAAATACATTAAACATTTAACAGCACATCCTGCTCACCTTGGGAATAGGAAAACTGGATGGTTTCATTGTTCAGGAGTACTTGGATGTCACCCTGGCTTCCCAAGGTCCATTCAACCTGCAAATCACAGCAGATGTCCCAGTCAGCCCCTCTGCTCCTCCCTTCCTGCCATCCCCCCATGCTGGGGACACTTAAACCCTGTCCTCCTCCAGCCCTGGCAGAAAGGCTCAGCCCCAGGGCCCATGTTGGCATGTTCTTTACTCCAGGAGACACGTGATAAAGCAGCTTTGACGATTGCACAGAAGAGGACACCAGCTGCCCCTTGCCACCACTGGCACGGGGCACACCGAGGCCACTACTCCAGCTTGTCTGACCATGACGATGTGGAGAGCTGCACCAGTGGGCTGCTGGCTCTGAGCCCCCTTCTTAAACTGCTCAGTGGCTGTTTCTGGTGACACCAGGACATTCTGCTTAATGGAACAGGTGTGGGGAGCAATTCTGCCAAGCAAGGAAGAGCATTCACTTGTGCTAATGCACACAAGGAGTGTGCAATGACGAAGGTGGAGCAGACCATGCTCCTGCAGAGTTCCCAGTCCTTTCTGACCTTTTTGCAAGAGGTGTTAGACCTGTGTCTGGTGAGTCTTAGCCCATCCCACCACTATTAGCACTTTGTTGAAGTGGTGGGAGGTGACTGGAAAAGGAGAGGGTCCCACCCGCATCACTCTGTAGGTGATGTAGAAGTGATGCCCAGCCTGCCAGAGGCATTTCTCCCATTAGAAGCTCTGACCCATACCCAGGTCACTCCTACTCACTGTTGTGGTGGTTGTGGAGATGTACTGGGCAGCAAATGCCACGAAGTTGGTGGCCTGGGCCGTGCCGGTCTGTGCCGTGCGCCCCTGCAGCACGAAGCTGGTGTGGGCATCGCCAGTCAGCAGCAGGACAAAGTCCCCGAGCCCATTGAAGGTGTAGGTGAGTCCATCCAGGGTGGTGATGTGGGGGTCCCCAAAGGCGCCAGCTGGGGTCCAAAGGAGATGGAATCATTTTGGGGGAAAGGAAGAAGAGCAAATGTTGGTATCATTTCAGGGAGGAGAGCACCCCCAGGGATGTGCTGGTTCAGCAGCCCTCACTGGGATGATTAGCCACGAAGTGTGGTTAATGCATGAGGTCCGTGCATGGCTGTGACACCCACTCCTGGCACAGAGGAGGCAGAGCCTGGGGACTCACCGGGGGTGGGGGGCACATATCCCTCACAGCCAACCCTCGGCCTCTTCTCAGCAAACCTGGAGCAGAACAGGGGCTTCCCCACACGCCGGCAGCACCAGTTGAACGCCTCCAGCTCCCTGTCTGTGGAGGAAGGTGGCTGGGGGCTGGGGGCTGTTGGGGCCCTTGCTGCACCTCTGCTCGGTGCTTGGGGTGTTTTAGGGTGAAGGAATGACAGTGCCCACTTACCAGAGGTGGGGTGGATGGGGAGGCTCCATGCTCTCTCCTGCCAGCCTTCGAGGAAGCTCCCATCTTGGTACAGACATCGCACCCCAGCTCCGGTGGGGCTGGGGGATGCAGTGCGCAGCATCTTCGTGGAGGCATCTGCCAGGCCTGAAATGGTGTGGGAGGATCACGGCCATCCCCAGAGCAGGAGGGGAGCCCCTGCCATCCTCCCCCCGCCATGGATGGCCGCAGGGGGCTACATTGGTACCTCTGCTCCAGCGGTAGCGGGGGTCCAGCTCTGCCTGGGGCCGGGAGCAGGGGCATGGTGGCAGCTGGCTGTTCCAGGTGGCCGGTGCTGGCTCTGCATCCAACCATGCCAGGCACCACAGCCTGTAGTTCACCCGGGGGCGACTGTCCAGCCTATATATCCACAGTCCACGCACATCTGGGGAAGCAGCCGGAGAACAGCACTGCTCAGCCTAGGTCTCACCTTGTGCTGAGTGATCCCGTGGGACAGCAGTCCCTGGCCACTGACCTCACATGAGGTCTCCAGGCTCCCTCTAGAGCCGGTGTGGCTGTGGCAAGCCACAGCAGGACATGGGACACCCATGCAAGGCACAGCAGGACACGGAACACCCATGCTCTGCTCTTGGTGGCCAGCCCTTGCCCAGTGGCTTCACTGGCCCATTGCCTCACAGGGATATGTGCTGGGGACATGCTCCTGGCACAGAGCACACAGCTCCCTCCATCCATCCCCACCTGCCCCGAGGACTCCCCTGTGCCGTACCGAAGCCGATGCTGCTGTGCTGGTCTGGTCTGTACTTGACAGCTCGTGGCTTTTGAGTCAGCTCGCTGTTTTGGGCATAACCATTGCCGCTGTGTGGAGAGAGAGGGTTTGGGGTCACCTTTCCAACATAAACCTCCTCTGCTACCCACAGAGCAGTTGGGGTGGCAACTGTTGTGGTTTGCAGGAGAGAGGGTTTAAATGTGACAAGGTTGTTCCAGGAGTGAGAGTTGGGCTCTCCTGGGGATAACATCTCCAATGGTCCCAACACAGTGCTGGGAGAAGTTTCTGCCGTCTGAAAACCCAGTCAGGCGTGCACAGCACCTGGAGAAGCCGATCAGCACGTTGCCTGCAGCCAGCTTGGTGTAGTCCCACCTCATCCCGCCGTCCTGGTAGAGCAGCAGGGCGAAGGAATAGTTCCCATCGGTAGTGAGGACTGCCTGGTATGTGCTTGTCTGGAGAAACCCAAGGGTGTTAAGAAACCCTTAACATCCCCAAAGCCTCCCCTGCTCTCCCCACAGTGCAGACCGAGGTGGTGAGATCTGAAACAGCTGCCAACAGTCCCCTCTGTCACCTGGGTCCCCCACTGCTCACCTGCGTGTCATCCCTCTGGGATGGATATGCTGGAGCCTTCTCCCATGTCACCTTCAAGGTCCATTTTGCTACGTAGGGGATTTTCAGGTATTTCTCAATCTTTGCTTCCACATCCTGGACAAGGGGGTCTCGGGTAGAGCTGAGGGTGGAGTACTCCTGCCAGTTGGCAAGAGAGAGGGTTAAATGAGAGAGCTGGGAGCTGGGTTCTCCCAGGAGAACATCTTTAGTGATCCTTACCTGGTACCAGGTGGTGCCAATGCCCTGGGAGAAATCTGCATCATCCCAAAAGGCAGCCACCATTGGGAAACTCTCCCGGCCGCTGAAGCCCCGGGGAGGTGGGTTGGGGTTGGACGGGAAATAGTTGTCCGTGGGTGGGAAAATGATCTGTCCATTATCTGTAAACTAACCAAAATAATTTGTTATTTGCCTACAACCCAGGCAGCTCCTGGGATGGCTTTTAGCCTCCACGAGTGAGCAGAAACCAGCCAATTTAAATTTTATAAAAGAGATGATGGGACAAAGTTTGGTTTCTGCTCCATTTCTGTGTTGTTTGCTTTTTTTTTTACCAAAATGGCAGCACATCCCTTATGTGCTCAGTGAGGGGGGAACTCACATAGAGAGCATCTCGCAGCGACTTCCCAAAGGGAAATCCAATCTCTGGCTTGAACAGCGGGGAGTTAAAATCCACCATCCTCTGGACGTACACTTGGTCCCCTCCTTCGATGCCAAAAGGGTAGAGGGAGGCTGCTGGCACTGACGTGGGCAGGAGATTAATGGAAAAGGTTTTAAACCATTAATGTCTACTTTATCCATCCTGCAGCCTGGACAAACTCACCTACTTGCTGTCAGGATACTGTGCCTGTTCTCTGAAGAATTGTAACCCAGTTTTTAACCCACTCTTGGAATGCTCTCAGTTTTCCTATTTTGCCTCTCCCTATGAATCTGGTACCTCAACATGCAATGCAGATGAGACACCCTGGACCAGGCTGTACCCTCATTCATCATGATGCTTGATTGGCTGACAAACCCTTCCTGCTCTTGGCTTTGGGAAAAGAAAATCTACTTACTGATAAGCTCATGGGTGGGTTGGGGCTCAGGGGCAGGATTTCTGTGGCCAGCAGTGGTGTGGGCAGATGTGCTCAGTGCTGGTCCTCTCTGTGTCCCAAAGGCAGAAGATGGGGAGGTGGCAGGGCTGGTGGTGGCTGGTGGTCTCAGCAATGCTGTGGTGCCTGGAGCTGGGAGACCTCCCAGCTCCTTGGCTGGGCTCACTGGAGCTGTGGATGCAATGGCCGTGGTGCTGCCTGCAGTGATGGATGTGGTGCTGATGGCTGTGGTGCTGCCCTCAGGGATGGCCACGGTACTCCCTGCAGGGATGGCTGTAGTGCTCTCTGCAGTGATGGCTGAAGTGTTCCTTGCAGTGATGGCTGTGGTATTCTCTGCAGCAATGGCTGTGGTCTTGCCTGCAGTGATGGCTGTTTGGTCCCCCCATGGAGGTGCCCCTGGAGATGTCTGGAAGGCAGGAGGGGATGTGCTCACTGCTTGTCCCGTGTTGTGGTTGCTGGCAGATGTAGAAGTGGTGCCTGTTGTTGACTCAGTGGGGGTCTGTCCAGCTGCCACCTCCCTGGTTGCACCAACACCAAGCAGGGATGAAGGGGTTGTTGTTGCCTCCTCTGCTGGGCTGTTCAGGCTGGGGAGGGGTGAACTGGGCACTGCAACAGCAGGGCTGGGACTAAGAGCACCCTGGGACACAGCAGTTGTTTCCAGTGAGGAGTTACTTGGTGGGGACAGGACAGATTGCCCACCTCTGCTTGTCTCACTGTGTGTTACAGTGAGGGACAGGGCACTACTCGTGGTGATGTTCCTTGCTGCGGCAAATGGCGTGGCTGTGGTGGCCCTGGTCACCACAGAGGTGTCCCAGCCCACTGAGGTGGCTGGCGGGGTGGTGTTGCTGGGGAACATGCTGGTGGCTGGTGTGGTGGCCAGGTTTGTCCCAGTGGAGTTGGAATCAGGGACGTGGGTGCTGCTGGTGCTGGCTGAGGGTGCTACATCCTCATTGAGGCTCTCAGTTGGGGTGGTGTCTGCACGGGCAGTGATACCTTCAGCACCTGACCAGGATGCAATTGTAGTCTCCCACAGGTGTGTGTGGCCAACAGCCAGTGTGGTGACCCCAGCTATGGGCTCGTCCTCAGTGACTGCATTGAGAGTTCTCGGGTTTGGGTTGTGGATGCTATCAGTGGCCTCAGGAGATGTCCTCGAGGTGACATGGGGGCTGTGGGGAGCAGAGGCACTGCTGGGAACAGCAGAGGCAGGTGTTGTGACCCTGTCCATACTGACATCACCTGCTTTCACTGCTGGACCAGTGACAGTGATGCTGGGGGTGTCAGAGGGTGCCACCATCTCCAGATGGGTGCTCACAGGGACAGTAGAGGACACACTGACATCTGTCTCAGCAGTGCTGTGAGCAAGGCCAGGGGAAGGTGCTACAATCAGCTCTGTAGCTGTGGGTGACACTGAGCCCATGACGGCCACTGCTGTAGGACTTTTGCTGCCCAGGACAGAGTGTGCTGACAGGGTGGCATCGCTGGCTGCTGGCTCAGTCACCCCAGTCATAGGAGTGGGCAACCCCAGGGACAGCCTCGCAGCCTCGTTCCTCATCATGGGAGAAACTGTGTCCGTGTCCAAGTTCATGCCCATGTCTGAGGTGGGCTCAGCAGTGCGGTAGCTGTGGAAAGATGCAGCACTTGGATGGGTATCGATGCTGGCTGTGTCATGGGGTGACACCTGTGGGCCTATCCCCAAAGAGATGTCACCGCTGCGATGGGTACCTGTTGTGGCACCCACCCTTGTGTTCTCAACCAGGGTTGAGCCCAGAGTTGCCTGCACGGTGCTGTCATCTCCTGCCAACTGGGACGTGCCCTGGCCTCCCTCTGCAGCTGCGTTTTTGGGGCTTGGTGGTACCATGGGCTGGGATGTCTTGATAGTGGCTGTGCTGGTGAGGAGTCTGGCCTTGGTCAGTGCTGGGCTGGGGTTAGTCACAGCCAGTGGGGCTGAGGGACTGCCCTTGGGAGCTGGAAGAGTCAGATTCACTGGGGGCCTTGTTTCAGAAGCATCATTCTGTTGGGCAGGTGGCTCTGGTGATGGCCTGGCAGTGATGGTCGCATGTCTGGAAGTTGGCCCTGCTGCACTGGCATCTGGGTTCTCCTCCGTGCCCACCTCCAGGAACCCCATCCCCGTTGCTTGCCCTGTGATGCTGCCGTCGAGCTGGGGGTCACCTGAAGCTCCTATTGCTGGTGGTGTGGTATCCAGGGACAATGGGGATGTGACTGCTGCCATCTCTTGTGGGATGCCAGATGGGGGCACCCCCAGAGCCATTCCTACATTGGCACTGCCTTCCATTAGGCGGGGGACATCTGCTTGGGGTGCCATGGGGACAGTGACTGCTTTGAACATCCCTGGGGTAGCTGGTACAGCTGTGCCGGTGCCAGGTGCAGTGCTTGGTGACCACGCCTCTGTCCCTAGAGGTTCCCCATGTTGTGTCCCAGCCCAGAGTGGCGCACCTGGTCCGGGTACAGGTGTGACAGCAGTTCCTGAGGTTCTTGAGCCTGCCGTGGGACCAGGCTGGCTGTGGCTGGGGGATGCATCAGGTACAGGCAGGGTGGCTCCGGTGTCCCCTAGCTTAGTGATGGCAGTGCCACTGGCCAGTGATGCTTTTCCCATCCCTGCTTCATGAATTGGAGTGTTGCTAACAAGGGAGGATGGATGTGCAGTTGGCAGTGTCCCAGTGCCATACACAGCAATGGAAGGTGTTGGTGCAGCAGCAACAGCTCGAGGGGCCCTCTCTGGTTTTTCTTCACCGGCACCCATGAGGGACAAGGGCACAGCCATACTGGGTCTTGTTGGATGGGTTCCACCTGATGAGGGGGTCTGGGGGAACAGAGAGCCTGTGGAGTGCAGAAAGGACCTTAGAGAAGGATCACCAGGGTCATCAAGAGCTGAATGTGGGGATAGGCTCATGCTGAGCTCCCCTGGGGTGGCCTTGGTCTCCGAGAAAGCAGTGCCCACTGTAGCTTTGGTGCTGTCCTCATTCCTCATGGACACCAGCTCAGCATTGGTGCTTCCCAGAGCTGGGAATGATACAGTGGGGATATGCTCTTCAGCTATGACATCCACTACCACAGCCAGCGTGCCTGGAGCTAGTGTGGTGCTCTGGAGGTGAGTGACAGCACTGACTCCAGGCAGCCCATCTCCAGCAGTTTCAGGAGTGGCGCTGTGGCTGGCGGGAAGCATCTCTCCTGTGTCTGGCACAGCATCACCAGGGATTTGGGGCAAAAGGGCTGGAGGCAGCTGAGTAGGAGGCACAGGGGGGTCCTGGGAGGCACTGTGGAGAGTGTCAGACAAGGAACGTGTCGCTGGCTCTGCAGCCTCGCCAGTGCCAGTGGCGGCAGAAGAAAAGGTGACCTTTGCTAAGGATGCACTTGAGGAGTCTGCAGATGGTGGGGATGCCATCCTGGCTCCTTCTGTGACTTTGTCGGGGGGGGACCTGGGGAGGCCAGCGGCAGAGTTGGCTGAGGCTGCTGATGTCTTCATGGGGCTGCCCCTGTCCTGAGAGATGCTGGCTCCTGGGTCTGAAGGTGAGGCGGCCTCATCCAGCGTGGCCTCCTGGGACAGGAGCGAGGCAGGTCCGTGTGGCTCAGCAGAGCTCTTGCTGATGCTGGGGTGTGATGTCCCTGTGCTGTGCTCGTCCTGGGGGAGCAACAGCACTGTAGTCCGTGCTGTCCCTGGCATCCCCTCTGCAGGGACAGCACCCATGGCAAGACCCACCGCATGCCCCGTTGGCGTGAAGGACAGAAGCTGCTTGTGCCAAGTGGTGGTGGGAGCTGGAGGGGAGCTGCTTGGGTGGCTGGCAGCACCTGGAGAGGAGACCTCAGCCCCTGACCCTGCCTGGAGGCTGTCTCGCATTGCTGGACCCCCGAGGAGAGCTGCTGGGCTGGGCAGCCCCTCCTGCTCACCACTGCTCCCAGCAGGGACCAGCCCTCTTGTTGTCGCCTGTGGCACCAGGATGCCTGTGGAGCGAGACAAGGCAGCCCCAGCTGGATCAACCCCACTGTGGCCCCAGCAGGCAGGAACCTGCCGGCGGCCAGCTGCCTGCCAGCCTTACCTGAGCCCTGACTGCCCGCAGAGGTGATGATCTGGCCGGCAGGAGAGGGGTGCTCTGGCCGTGGGGCCGCGGCAGTGGGGAACGCCTGGCACATGCCCAGGTCTGAAGGCAGCTCGGCGCTGGTACTGTCGGCTGCATGGGAAATGCTGCTCGACTCTGCTGGGACCAGCGTGGGGACAAGGGGCTGCTCCTTCATCTCCCCGGCTTGTGCAAAGGTGGGTGAGAGTAGGAGGAGGAAAAAATCAACCAGGGATTCCCATCACCTCCTTCAATCCTCCCTGCCGCGGCGGGAGCATCCACAGCTCAACCAACACCAACAGCGGGCAGACTCCTTACCCAAGGGCGAGAGTCCCCCTTTTATCCACAATTTCCCCCCCCGCACCTTCCCCTGCTGCAGCTGGGGACCCTGCCGAGGCTGTGGCACCCGCAGACAGAAACGGAGCAAAGCCCAGCCAGCCACTCGGGCTCAAACCTGGGGCACTGGGAACAAGCCAGAGGGTTGTTCGCAGCCCATCACCCAGATGCTATCAGCCACCCGTTCCGCTCGGTGGCAATGCAAGCGACCCTGGCACTCACCTGGCAGCACCCAGAGCCCCCACAGCACCCAGCTCCAGAGCAGCCATGGACCACGGGACCCCATGGTGCTTCCTCAGCGTCAGGGACAGGGCTGCAGCTCGCTCTGTCTCAAGGGAGGGACGCAACGGGTGACTCGACCGGTGAGCACTCCCCCGGGTGGGGGGGACAGGGACACCACGTGCCCTGCCTGGGGCACTGACGTCTGTGTGTCCTCGCAGCCTGCGATGAGGTGGCAGCGTCCCAGTTCTGGGGGCCCACTGATGCTGCTGGACACCCTTTTTGCCATGGGAGGTTGTAAGGCCCTTCCCAGGCTGACCCCATTGATGACAGCCTAAGGTTGGGGTCCCCAATTCCTGGGGAACAGCTGGTGGGTTTCAAAGTCACTTGGCCCAAAGGCCCTGGCATGGCAAGTGGGGACAGGGGTCCCCAACACCTCTGTGGGGTGGGTCAGTCCTGGGGTCTGTACCCCCATCCACCCTTCTGTTTGCTGCCGGGTCCCTCCACGCTCAGCTGCATGGTCGATAACCCCTGGCAGGGGTTGGCTTGTCACCAAGGAGGAAGAAGGAAGGAGCAGGCTCCTGCTGGCGCCTTGGGGTCCTGCGTATTGACCCTGCCCTGTCCCCCCCTCGGCACTGCCTCCTGGGACCTGCGGGCAGGCGTTATCTGTGCCATCGCAGAAAACGCCCACGCAGCCCGGATGGGGTGGGAGGGTTGTTCCCTCATGGGTGGCGGGGCCAGGCATTGCCCTGGGTTGCAGGTCACCTTCCACTGGGGACAGAAGCCAGATGAACCCAGCTGTGCAAATGGACTCAGTGAGGCCACTCCAGCAAACGTGTCTGCCCTTTCACAGGGTCTCACCCAGCTCCAGGATCCCTTAAGGGGGCAGAAACACGTCAGTGACGGGGTTGTGCCTTCCTCGCTTCACTGAGAGCCATGCCAGCCGGCTGCCATGCCACGGTGGCTGCACCTCACGGGGAAACAGAAGCTCAGAGGTCGAAGCACTGATGCGTGACCGTGTCCACAGCAGCACCAGCACACCTGCCTCTCCTGCACTCAGGGAGGGACAGGGAACCAGAGACGAGGGAGCTGTGGGTGCACAGGACACACAGGGGATGTGGCCAGGTAGTATCTGCCACAGGGAGGGATCCACAGCCATGCCAAAGCAGCCTTTCCTCACCATATATGGCAGAGTCTCTTCTCTAGAGAGAGGGCACTCAGGGGAGCACGTACCACCACTGCCCATGGACCTGGTGGGTTTGGGCACCAAGATCCTCCTCCACCTGACCCCCACATCCCTTCCTGATGCTGCTACAATGGGAAACCCGGCAAAGGGGCTCTGATACCTGCTTGGAGGTGGGGCAAGAACTCGCACCCGAGGTGGGACCCCATGGCAGCCACCCCCCACTCCCCCACCAGCTCCTGGCTCGGGCTGCAGTGGTGGCACCTGGTTGCACAACACCCCTCGCGTGGGTGGGGGCGCGACGCCAGTCCCGCCACTCCCTGCCCGGGCATGAGTCAGGCGGCAGCCAGGAGGCACCGGGGGGCCCTGCTGCAGGGGGCTGCCCCACGCTGGGGCAGCGCCCTCAGGCAAGCACTGCCCACTCACAGTGGGCAAAACCGCGCCCAGTCTTCAGGTGCTGGGCCTGGGGGTGGAACAAACTAACTCCAGCAGCCTCAGATGGGGAAAACCTTGCACCCTAAAACAGCCTGGAAGGTACTGGTGGTGGGTTTTACAGGTGCACGTCACACAGCTCCCTGGGGATCCCCAGTGTCAGTGCATCCCCTCCTGAGCTCCATCACATGGCAGATCACAAGGATCACAGTCCCGGCTGACTGCAAGGAAGACCCAGCACCCATGGAGACAAGGTCTGTCCCTCTGTGTTGGCAAGGATGAACCTGGGACACTGTCGCAGGCACCCTCCTCCTCTCCATAGAATACTTTTATATATATACATAATATATATTAAAATTACATTTCTCTTTACAAAAACAATTCAACAAGGGGCCAGGGGACAGAGCCCATTTGCCCAAACCAGGGCATAAGCACCCCAGCAAGTCTGGGGCAGGGTCCCTTTTGGGGTGTCCCCACCCCCAAAGCGGGGGCTCAGTCCAGAGTCCAGCAGCAGGTTGTGTGGGTGGAGGCGGGGGCACTGGCCCTGTGGTGAGATGCCTTCTCTGGATCCGACGCCACTCACCCCGTCCCTGCTGTCACCACCTATAAGGAGAGGACAGGACATGAGCTCAGGAGAGGTGATAGGGCCAGCTTGCCCAGAGCAGTGTGGCATGGAGAACTGCCCCCCCAAAGCATATCCATGACCTTACTTCTGGCGGGCGGTGCTGTAGGGATCAAGGAGGTGGGAGCTGGCCTGCTCCAGGTTCCAGTCAAACATCTCCAGCACCCGCTGGCAGTCACCGCGGGACTTCAGACCCAGGCAGAAGAGCTGCTCCACCTGCAAGGGGACAGGGCATAGCCAGGGGGGTGACAGGAGTGCCACCACTCTTGTGGAAGCCAAGGTGAGGGAAAGGAGGTGTGCCATACCTTCAGGTACTGGATGGCCCTCTGGACATTCCAGCCGTGATTCTGCAGGGCTGCCTGGCACTCGTCGGTGGTCACACCATGCACCATGTCCTGCACCTGGGGAGAACTTGTGGTCAGTGTCTGCTGCTACCCCCAGGCAGCACAGAGCCCATGGCTGAAGCAGTGGGCCACTGGGGTTGCCCCCAGTCCTGGCTCTTTCCCTAGGGAGCACTGTTAACCTGGAGCTGGCATCATTCTGAACATTATTTGACTCTTCTGGGCTTTGGTGGGCCTCAACAGGCCCAGCCCAGAGAGTCCAAGGAGACCATAGGGACAGCCACCTTCTCCCTCCCCAGGGTCTTGGGTAGGGCCAAATTGGGTTAAAAGGGCCTTCAATTCCCATTTTAGCATTGCAGTGACATTTATGTCCCTCTGCACATTCGAGGCCCCCTTGAAGCCAATCCCCTGCAGTTGTACTTGGGGAAACTGAGGCACAGGGTGGGGAAAGCTCTTGCCCAAGTGAGCTCATGGCCAGCGTGTGCCCTCCTCCCCCTGGATGTTGGGCACGTCACTTACCAGCCGGACCTTGTCAGCAGGACGGCAAACATCTGGCCCATCGTAGACAATCTTCTGGAGGCTGCAAGAGGCTTTCACCAAGCACTTAGGCCCAGGGTTGCTGTTGTTGGAGGAGAAGTTGGCCTTGCAGTCTGGCAGTGGCTGCTGCACCATGGGACGGACAGTGGCTGTGGTGACTTGCCGGGATGGTGGCACCTCCTCTGGGCTTTTAGCCTCCTTGAAAAACTTCTCATACTTGTCCAGGTAGGCAGGGCGCTCAGGCAGCAGGTAGTAGTGGGTGCTGCTGACCTTCTGCCCATCCTTCACAATGGGCAGGATGCAGGGTCCCTTGGAGCAGTCCTTGCCCTGTGCCTGAATGACCTTGGGGGTGGCGTACTTGGGGTCGAGGGCAAAGCTCTGCGTGGTAGGCATGGGCTTCCCTGGTGAGGTGGAGAGGCAGGAGCAGAGGGCAGCACGTTGCTGCGGGGAGCCCACCTGCAGAGCCATGGGGCTGGGTGTCCGGGAGGTGGGCTGCGACAGCGGGTCCCGAGGGGGAATCTGGGGTGGTCGGTCTTCCTCGCCCCCCGAGGCTGGGGAAAGGTCCCCTGACCAGCGCCCAGGCTCATTGCGGCGAAGGGGCCGGGGTGGGATTGGAACACGGGGTGGGATTTGGGGCTTATCATCAGCAGGGGCAGCCGGTCCCAGGGGGACATTGAGCCTCTTCATGCACTCCTGCTGCAGCTCCTCAAAGAGCTCGGTGGTCTGTGTCATGCTGGGCTGTTTGGTCTCCTTGGGGGGCAGGAAGAGGTTGTCCTCCAGCACCGGT